CCCTTCTCTCCATGACTTTCTTGTTAACTGCCAGAGGATGGCACCGTCCCAAAAATGAGAGCCAAGGTACAAGATGCAGAAGACTCATTCACATGTCCAACACTGCTTCAGGGCCTTCCAGCGTCAGACACGGAGAAGAGGACCCACTGGGGCCTTCACACAAATACGAGGGAGCATCGGGTGGGATGAGCAATGCCATCCCCGACCAGCTTCTGGCCTGACCGGTAAGAAGTCTCCACAAGCCTCCCAGACCCCAGGCACAGGTGCCAGCTTTACTGTTAATTCTGGAAGTTCAGAGATGGAAAGCTAGTCCAGCATCCCTGGTCCCTAATCAAATCATACTCCCTCTACCGTTAGCAAACAGGCACTTCAAACATCCACGAAAGCCAGGTGCATGCCTGCAACCCTAGCAAAAATAAAAATGCCTGGGGATATAGCTCAGTGGTAGAACACCCTTGGGTTCACTTCCTAATGCTAAAAAAAAAATCCCATTGATTGTGAGCCTACTATATTACAAAGATGGTAGTGGCCTAAGAGGATTTTTTTTCAGTAGTAAAGATCGAACTCAGGGGCACTCTACCCGAGCTATATCCCCAATCCTTTTTATTTTTTATATTGAGAAGGGTCTCACTAAGTTGTCCAGCTGGACTCCAACTTGCTATCCTCCTGCTTCAGCCTAAGTGCTGGGATCATGGGAGTTCTTGGTTGTTTTTTCATGGGTTTGCAAAGTGAATTTAGGGACCCTGTGTGGTTGTTCCATCGGAGCCTTGGGACCAGGCTAGTCCATGAAATGTGAGGGACAGGGATGAGAAGGGTCCACACCGACATGTCCTCGTCTACCTCCTGCCAGTTTCTTGGCATGGACGCTGGGTGCTGTGCCAGAGGGCAGGGCGAGAGAGGGTCTGAGGTTCAGAAGGACACACCTGCACAGACTTTGGCCACAGTGACCCAGGGAATTAACCCAGCAGGTCCCAGGAAACGGCTACAAGTAGTGGCGGCAGCAGGGAATCCCTACTATGGCGGGGCGGGAGTCCGGTATGTGGAAGCCAACTGGCTCTCAGGTATGAGTTCATGATCTGTTAGCCTCCACAATCAACTCCCCGGGGTAAGGAAGGAACAATGGCAGGCAGGAGAAGGAGGACCCTGGGTGAGTTAGACTCGAGGTTTCAAAAGTTCAGAACCATTCTTGGTGTCTATACCTCTTGGGGAAGAAAAAGACCAAGCATCAACCCAATGAACTCTGGTGTCCAATGAACCTGAGTCTGAACCCTAGTCCTATACCTCACGTCTTAATCGGCATGGGTTAGTTCTGGCTTCTCTAACCTTACATTTGACATAAGTGTTAGGTATGTCAACACCATAGGGTTATAAGGACTAAAAAGAATATATATAAAGGATTTGCCATGATGTGCTGCACATACTGAACTAACCACTGGCCATTGTGATTTCCTATTTCTCTATTTGTACCCTTGCATGCACGCATGTACACACACACACATACACCAGTCCCTAATTTTATGAACAACTGGGGTTTTTGGGGTTTTTTGGTACTGGGGATTGAACTCAGGACCTTGTGCTTGCCAGGCAAGCGGCAGAACCACTGAGCTACATCCCCAGCCCTGCTAGTCCCTAATTTTAAAATGGCAAGCATGCCAGGGATTTAGCTCAGTGGTTTCGCTGCCTGCTGTACAAGCGTAAGAACCAGAGTTCAATCCCTGGTACCAAAAAAAAAAAAAGGCAAGCAAATGCAGGAGGTTGTTTGGAGAAGCTATGGGTTGTTCTGCCACATCCCAGGGTGTTCTGGGATTCCTGGCTATCTCTGCTTCCGTGGACGCCTGTTCAGCAGGTGAGGACTCAGGAGAGGGAAGAAGGAAACTCACCGGACCTAGGAGAGATCCCAAAGACTGCCCCTGGCCTCAGTTGGTGACTGCAGTACCGGAACACTGCTGCTCCAAGTAGTCCCTTTAAGGATCCAGTCCAGCACTGCACTAGGGTTTCCTCTCTCCGCCTAAGGGAGCTGCTCATGGTCCACAGTGTGCACAGGAGACAGCCGGACTCGCTCCAGCCCAGCCCAGCCCAGCCTAGCTGCCTCTCCAACCACTCGGCCCAGCCCTTCCCTTCCCTTCCCCACTTCAAACACCCTAGACTGCCACTGGGCCTTTAACCCCTTCCATGCTGCTGCCCAGTCCTTGGCTTCCTGGACAAAGGCCGGCCTCTGAGTTCAGGTTCCCAGGGAAACAGGTCCAGGAAGCTTAGCTGGGGTCACCCTGAGGGGAGCGGATGTGGGAGCCTGGTCCCCAGGAAATTTCACCCCCTCCAACGGGGCAAGCAGAAACCCAGGATGGAAGAAAGAGGGCACCTGGGGCCGGAGCCACCCCTGGGAGCCTTCGGAACAGCAAGGTGCTCGTGAGGTCGGTAGGGTCCTTCCCCTTCTCTCAAAAGGCTTCTGAACTGCTGGTTGGTGCCTTTAAGGGGCAGGCCACAGCAGTGAGGAGGAAATACTGTTTTCTGAGAGCACAGGGAGGAGCGACCAGGAGGGCAGCTCCACATGAGGCGGGCACTAGCTTTCCCAACAGGAACAGGGTAGCCAGGCAACTGGGCACACACAGGACGCATGGCCCCGCTTGTTGGCTTGTTGTGGATACCAGGCGGCAGGATGTTTGAGCGGCCCCTCCACCCTCTCTGATAACAGTTTGAGGGGAGTGTGCTGACTCACCCTTCTTGCCCGGGGCAGGGGACAGAAGCAGACACTGGATTTCCTAAGGTGACGGTGACGGCATCACCCTCAGGTGGCCCCTGCAGTCTAGGAGCAGGGCTTTGTGGAGTGGAAGGACAGCGGCTGGCTCTGCCAACTCCCTGCGTAGGGGAGCTCATTTACCCACGACTTCATTCCCTCATGTGTAAAATGGGGACTTCGGCTAGAAAGGCACCAATGCTAGTAACTGTGCTGGCTGCCACCTGCCTGTGCCCTTGGATAGTCCTTCACTTCCTTGTTCTTGGTCTGTTAATGAGAGGATTAAATTAGTGCTCACTGTTAATCCTTTTCTGAGTGAGAGGAAGAAGACAGCCCTGGCTGGGGCCCAAACTACAGGATGAGAAAGTGACACTGTTTCTTGCTGCATAACGCAGAGGAGGCCAGGCATGGTGGTGCACACCTGTAACCTCAGCACTCAGGAGGCTGAGGCAGGAGGATCACCTGTTGAGCTCAAGGCCAGCCTGGGCTACATAAGGAGGCCATCTCAAAAAAAAGGAAAAGAGCGTGGGGGAAATACCTGACCCATCTTACAGGTGAGGGCCCTCAGAAATCCTGTCTTGGGTTGTCCAGAGGATGAAACAAGCTCCCCACGGGACAGCAGTCACCTGAGGTCACACAGCCAGGCTGCCAAGGTGGGGAGTGGGTGGAAACTCTCACACCTGTCTCTTCAGGTAGTCTGAGGGCCTGGCACAGGAAGGGGCGGGAGCCAGGGCACCGGCTCCTGCTGACACCAGGGCTGGGTGTGTGGATGATCAGATGCCAGGTGGAAGTCTGAGCCTCGTGGGAGGGCAGTGGGGCTCTGGCAGCTGGCTCGTATCTGTATTGCCTTTCAGGGAGGAGCCTGCTGGGCACCTGATCTCCAGGAAAGCAGGGGGTCCACACCCACTTGCCCTTTCCCCCAGAGCTGCAGTCAACCCAAAGGTCAAGTGCACCCTCCTGGGCCGGTTCCAGCATCCTCAGACACCTCTGCCAAGAAGTCAGGAGGGTGCAGTCCCAACGCCAACCACTCCTGTCGGTCCCTGTGTCTATAGATTTTAGAGGCTCTTATGTCCTCCACCACCACCACTTAGGGAGGTTCAAATTCTATCCTGACTCCAAGGAAGCTGATCTCCTGAGGTGAAGTATCTGGTTTTGGCATCTTTTCAAGGTGCCCGAAACGCGAACAGCCTTCACAGTGCCTCTCTTGTCATCTGCAGGCTCCCGGTCCCCCTCCTTGTCTCCTTCCCCTAACAAGCGCCAGACACCAGTGCTGGGTCCTGCAAGATCCGGTACAGATAAGCCTGCCAGGCTTCCCGGAGAGACAAGGAAGAAGTCTACCACCTTCCGAGGTAGCAGGTGTACCCACGCCCCACCCCAGAACCCCTCCTCCTCTAGGTGAACTCATTCTACTGGTGGCAACTCCAGATGGAAGTGTTCCCTCCTCCGGAAAGCCATTTCTGGGTCCTAGACAGGAGGTGCCTCCAATCCGCTGCCCTCCTCTCCCGTCTCCTGCGCATTTCCAAGTCTCCACTGAGCACGAGCACTAGCAATTATCTTTCCTGCCCTCTGACCTGGCCCGTCCTGGTCCTGGGGTGTCCAAGCTGCAGCCCCTGAAAGAGGGTTGTGAGCTGGTGGAGGGCGACTCCATTCAGAGCCTCCCGCTGTCTCCATGTCCTTTTCATCTTCGGGCCCCAGAGGCTCCCACTGCTGGGCAAAGGAAAGGTTAAACCGGTTGTGCAGGGAACAAAGCTGGTGTTGTGCTGGGTTTCCCTCCTGCCTGGGAGGCTGTTTGCAGACCACGGCATTCCTGGGTTGGACAGAGTGAGCTTACACTGGCTTCTCCCCGCTCTGCCTTTCCACAGTGTCAGGGCCCCGGGCAGGGGAGCCAGCACTTCTTCCTGGCCTGGGCTCAGAGCATGGGGGCATCAAGAACACACACATTCAACCTGGAGCAAAGCTAGTTCCAAAACAGGCAAGGGGCTGGAATCAGGCAGAAGCGCCAGCTTCTCGAGTGGCAGCAACTGGATCAGAGGGGCTCGGGGACACAGGAAGGGCTGAGGACCACCTTCTCCAGCTTTGGAGAGCTGGTGGCCAGGGCAGGTTCAAGGGACACATCACGGCTGACACATGGAACACAGGGGGACAGCAGCACAGGCTCAGAAGGGACAGACCCACAGCCACAGCCCCGTGCCAAGGAGATGACTCGGCTTGCTCGCCCAGGAGCTGGCGCTCAGGGCCAAGCTCCAGATGACAGGGAGACAGACAGGGCAGTGCAGTATTTGTTTTTATTAGAAAATTCCATTTGGTAAGCTCTTCCCTACCCAGGCAGAGACTGGGTGGCCTCCGAGAGTCCCACAGTTTTCTGACAGGGCAGGGCCGGGTGGGGAGGGCTCAGGCAGCCCCCGAAGGCCCCTCCTGGACTCCCAGGGCGCACAACGGCAGCAATACATCAACAGCACCTCGAGGGCAGGGCCCAAGGCCCCTGCTGCAGGCTGTGGCCCAAGGCATCCGTGTTGTATGGCTTCCAGGTGGAACCAAGGAGGCTCCCAGAGACTCTGGGTCTGGCCCTTCACTCTGGCTGGAGCGGCCAGGGGCTAAGGATGAAGAGAGGACGTCTGAGACCCTCTGGAGTCTGGAGAGCACCCGTTTCTCGGAGAGGAGGGTGGGAGCCCCGCTCAGTTCTTCTTGGGCTTGGGAGTGTCATACTTCCTCTTGCTGGAGTACCACAAGAGCAGGGGGATGCCGATGGAGGGAAGCGTCATAACTCCGAAGGCTGCCCAGTCCAGCTGCGGAGGAAAAGCGAGGACGAGGTCAGGAGAACACGTCGGGCGAAGGAATGCGCACAGTCAAGTACCACACTGGCCGGAAAGCTCCTCTGACCACAGGAGGTGGCCCATCGGCCTTGCGGGCTGTGAAGCGGGGCCGAGGCTGACCTGCCCAGACCAGCTTCCAGACAGTGCTAGAAATGGAGAAGCCCAGGTCTCGCCCTAGCCGTCAGGCCTCGCCGGGGCCCCTCCTCCAGTCCACCACCTCCCTGCCGCCTTCCACCTCCTGAACGCCCTGCACTCCTGGATCTGGATCGCGCCGTGCTCTCGTGTCTGAGTGGCTCCCTTGCCTCCTGACTGGGGAAACCATCTGTCCCTCCAGGACGGAGTGCCGGGGAGACCTCCTGATGCGTGTTCCTTCAGAGCCTCACCACAGCATCTGCCCCATTTACTGTTTTTTTTGTAGTTGTTTTTGAGGTACTAGGGGTTGAACCCAGGGCCTCCACACTGAGCTACATCCCCATCCCTTTTCTATTTTTTATTTGGAAATCTCACTGAATTGGTAAGTCACGAAAGCCGGGCTCAAACTTGCCATCCTGCCTCAGCCTCCCAGACGGCTGGGCTTACAAAAATGTGCCACCTCATCCAGCTCATTTGTGTGTTGTCTTCTGAGCCTACACAATCTTTTTCTTCTTTTTCTTTTTTTTTTTTTGACACTGGGGATCGAAGAGCCTACACAATTTTAATGCAAGGGGCTGGGTTATGTTGATCACTGCTTTCCCGGAGCAAAGTTCAGAATGAGTACATAATTAGAAACTGAGTGAACAGGGCTGGGGATTTAGCTCAGTGGTGCCGCCACCTACCTCGAAAGCGCAAGGACCCAAGTTCGATCCCCAGTACCAAAAAAAAAAAGAAGCCGAGTGAATAAATGAATTTCATTCAGTATTTCAGTCAAGTCTTCACAAAATCCCTACACCAAACCACAACGAAGTCCCCGCCCCGCTTACCCAATGCTCTATGACCCTTGAAGGAAACCAGATTTTAAATCTCAAAATAGCTCCCTGCCTCTAAAACGGGTCTCTACTCAAGGCCGAGAAAAGGGCACCTCCATCTCCGACAGTCTCAGGGGAGACCAACCAACAGACCATCTACAGACGCCTCGAGGCTCCAGAACCAGCAGGTGTTCACATGCCAGGGAAATGAAAAGAGGAGACCAGAAAGCTTACGAAGTGTGGGGAGAATCTCCTATCAAACTCCCGCTGAGCCAGGATCCCGCCCTGTCCAGGTGCACTGGTAGAGCCAATCTGAAAGGAAGAAAAGGACATCAGGGCAAGCCTGAAAGTCACCTCGTCTCACCCCGGGCAGGCACCCCAAGCCACCAATTCGAATCACCAGGTTCTGGGCACCCAAGGAGCCTAGACGCTTCAAGATGAGGAAGGGCCAAGGGGTGTGGCACTCGCCTCCCCGCTTCCTGTGAGGTCCTGGGTTCTATCCCCAGCACTGGGGGACAGACATGAGGTAAAGCTTCTGAACTAGAGTTGGACGATTCTCTTAGTGCTTGGGAAGAGAAAATGAGGACCCAGGAGGCCTGAGAAAAACCACCAGTGAGTATTTATTAAAGTCTGAACTGCAACTGAGGTCAAGGCCTCGGCCTCCAGGAAGGCTGACACCGCTCACTCACCCCACCGCCCTCCACAGGCCCTGGGCGGCAGACTCACTTCCCAAATGAAGCACCTTCTATCTCACAGGCTGACAGAGGCACAAGGAAATAAAGAGGAGGCTTCTGGAAGTGTACGCCCCGCCCACAGGAGCACCGAGGAGGGCTGAGTCTGGACCACATTCCTCCGCCCTGAGAGGCGGGACTCGCACGGTCTGGAGCACACTGCAAACAACTGTGTCCCAAGGTGGCAGCTGACTCTGATTCTGCATCTATTAACCTGCCCAGCACCAGGCAGAAGCAGTCTTGAGGCGTGTTCTGAAAGCAGAACTGACACCCATGTGAAAACACAGCTAGGATTATGTATCCCACATGGTTTATAAGAAAGGGAATTTTAGAAAGTGCACTGAGTGTAAAAGAATTTTATTTTACTGGGGTTTTTTTTGGTACCAGGGATCAAACTGAGGACCTTGTGCTTGTGAGGCAGGCGGTGGAACCACTGAGCTAAATCCCTAGCCTACTTTTTGTTTTTTTGAGACAGAGTTGCAACATGTAGCTCAGGCTGCCCTCAAATTCAAGATCCTCCTGCCTCAGCCTCCTGAGTGCTGGGGTTACAGGCACACGTCACTGCACCTGGCTCGAATTTTACTTCTCTGAGTTCTATAGACGAATGTCAAATCGCTCCCCTGCTGTGAACTCACTAAGGCTACAGCTTATTCTTATAGTACCATCAGAGGACCATGCATGTTAGCTTCATAAATGTAGGCCTGAGCTTTTTCCTTCCTGCAGTAGTGGGGACTGACCCCTGCGCATCCCAGGCAAGCACTCCTCAACTGAGCTGTATCTGGGGCCCTTTTGTTAAGTTTTATTTTGAAACAGGATCTTGCCAAGTTGCTCAGGTTGGTCTCCAACTTGGAATCCTGCCTCAGCCCGCCAAGCAGCTGGGATTAAGGCATGTCACCCACCCAGCTTCAGGATCTAAGCCTTTGAGGGTTGGACAGTGTCTCAATCTTCCTGGTATTTCCCAGAGTTGCAAGGGCTCAGCAGTGAACGGCATCAATCAATCAAAAGACTGTTTCCTTCAATAGGAGACGCGAAGTTCCTGGCCTTAGCAGTTTGTAATTAAATGGGAAAGGAGGGGAGGAGGAGGAAGACTCATGCATAAGAAAACCACTGAGGACAGAAGTAACAAACTAGTGCTGCCGGAGTTTAGGAGCAGTCAGTGACGCTGACAGAAGGACTGAGCAGGAGGGCAGCATGATGTACAGGAGACAGGAGGCGGAGACACTGCTCAGAGCTGCTTCTCGGGCCTCAGATACTGAGGTGGAGCAGAGCGAGCTTCAGACAGGACGAAGGCCAGGAGAACAGGGCAGGCGCTGAGGGAGGGGTGGAGTGCAGGCAGGAGCCTGGCCTCGCAGGTGCAGGTCTGTGTGCTCGGCCAGAGGCTGAGGACAGCTGGGTGGCCAGAGGTTGAGTTCCACAGGCCCAACAGCTGAGCCTCGAGGGCAGAAGCAGGCCGGAAGGGGGGAAGGGGGAAGTGGGAATGGGGGCCTGGAATAATCACGCAATGCGTTTGAAAGGACTGAGGGCAAGGGCAGCAATGCACCAGGCAGCAGCTGACACATGCAGACAACAGGGAAAGCAGAGGGCAGAGGAGGCCGTTCAGCACGCCCTCCATCGCTCCCACTGCTCCATCCCACTCGGCCACCCTGCGGGTGACCCGGAGCTCCCGCCAGTCTTATGGCCTTCAGCATCCACTGGGCTCTGCAGACACTTTCTGCAACTTTTTAGAGGAAGGTAGAGCCCAGCATGCCCGGCTCAGGGCTTGGTAACTTACCACGACGGGGCCGTCCTCTTGGGCCAGGTAAGTGATGGTGGCAGAGGTGAAGTTGAAGTAACCAGCCTTGAGAGGGCGCAGGACCACGGTGTGGGACACGTTGCTAGCGCTGGCCCCAGAGTTAAGGCAGGGGAAAACAATGGAGCGACAGTGCTAACAATCTTTCATCTTATGAACTAAAGGTACCCTTCCCAAAACAGCTGCCAACATGTGGTGATTTCATCACTATAATACTCTACAGGGATGAAAAAATCGATTTTAGAAAATCTAAAGTGCCTGGGATGATAGTACCTGCCTGTAATCCCAGTACTTGGGAGGCTGAGGCAGGAGGATCACCATGAGGCCAGCCTGGGATACATAGACCCTGCCTCAAAAAACAAACAAACAAACAAACAAACAAACATAAAAAATCTAAAGTGTGTGATATAATACCTTTCAGCTGTATTGGGGTGAGCAACCCACAAGGTCTCGCTGTGTATACTAGGCTGGCATTGAACTAGAAATCCTCCTGCCTCAGCTTCCCAAATGCTGGGATTATAGGAGTGCACCACCAGACCCAAGTAAATATACTTTAATTCAAAAGAGAAAAAAAGAAGTATCAAGCATCTAATTCACTATGAAATAACTGACAGATTAGAAAAAGAGACTCTGAATAACAGCCACCCAGATGGGTTTCCACTGAATTTCTTTTAAAAGGATTTAGCTCAGTGGTTCCACTGCCTGCCTCCACAGTGCAAGGACCCAAGTTCGATCCCTGGTACCAAAAAAAAGGCTCTTAGGGGTGAGGATGTAGCTCAGTGGTAGAGTGCTTGCCTAGCATGCACAAAGGCCTGGATTCCATCCCCAGCACCTCAAACAAAACAAAACATCTTAGGGGCTGGGTATTTAGCTCAGTAGTTCCACTACCTGCCTCAAAAGCACAAGGTCCAGAGTTTGATCCCTGGTACAAAACAAAACAAAACAAAACACCCATGCCTGCCCATACATCTTTTTCTCCCCCAGTACCGGAGACTAAACCCAGGGCCTTGCGGATGCTAGGCAAGTGCTCTACCACTGAGCTACAAACACCTTTATAGACCTCCAGAAATGTCCACCTCCTCCCAGAATGTTTCAAGGCCTCACACTGAACTTCATGAACCTCTTTCAGGTCTTCTCCTAAGCCATGCTCCCACTGGTACAGCAGTCCCTCTTGCCTCAGTCAGAACAGCCAGGCACACTTAGCCTGTTGATGTCCCCCTGCTGCCTGAAAGCAATGTTCCCCCTCCCCAGCCCTTGTCAGGCAGTGCCAAGAGGATACGGGGCGATCCGGTCCCACTTGACATTAAGCATACCAGAGACAATGCCAAAGTCTTCAGGTGGGAAGGAGTCATCAGATAACTCCACATCCAATGCAGCACTAGAAAACAGAGCTCATAAGTGATCAACAATCAAATCTGCCTGCTTGTCCTAAAGTCAGAACTCAAGAGAATCACACAATGACTCGGGCCTGTTGTACTGAAGAATCCAGGTCAGGGCCAGGGATTTAGCTCAGTGGTTTCGCTGCCTGCTGCGCAAGCGCAAGGACCTGAGTTCGATCCCCAGTACCAAAAAAAAAAAGAATCTGGATTCCACTGGTCAAAAACACCAACAACCTCGAGTATCTAGAAGGGAACGGGCCCAGATCTATTTTGCCTTGATGTGTGTGCGTACACAAGCACAGCCGTGTGGAGAGGGGAAGAGAAGGTAAATACAGACAGAAAATTAAAAGGAACAAAACAAGTGAAAACAAAAATGCTCCTAGGCTAGTGAAATAAGGAAGCTGAAACCTGAATCCCTAAGGTGACAAAGGGCCAAATATTTCGGGTGTCTTCATCTTCCCCTCCTTATTTCATAATTTTTGCTTCTTCTTTACTCTTTAACTCTTTCAACCCAAAAAAATGACTTCTGGGCTGGGGATTTAGCTCAGTGACACTGGGTCTGCCTTGCAAATGCAAGGTCCTGAGTTCAATGCCCAGTACAAGGAAAAGAAAAATGCAAAAAATGATTTCTCATACCTTAGGAAAGAAAGCCCTCCATGTCTAAAAAGAGGGCCCATAGTACATTCATTCACTCATGATACCTAATGCTACAGGTCTCCCAAAGAGAAATCACTAACCACAGGATGTTTCCTATACCCACCTGAGAACTAGGAATCCAAAAGAGGCCCAGCCTGTAGCCAGGGTACTCTTACCTTGAGCCGACATTGTAGATGTTGTACTGTAAGGTTAGGTCTCGCCCTTCCACAGCGTATCTGTTCAGCAGCGATTTGGAAGCCAAAAGCCTGGCTCCTTCCTCTGCTTGGGTGACAGCTAATAGAACCATGGTCACAAATGCCACCAGCCTCATCTTTGGAGAAAAGAGCACAGGAGGCAGTGAACCCAAGAAAGTAAAAGTCACCCAAGTCCTCCTGCCACCCCCCCTTGTAAGTCTGTCACCTTTTGATCCTAGCAGAGCAGCCGCCCTTCCACACAGTGCAGAAGTCACTGGCGCTAACCTTTCCCCAGTCCCTCCCACGGCCCTCAACCCTGAACATGGTCCAGGCACCAGCAACCCACCGGCCTCGGCCAGGAGGCCTGGGTGCTCATCCTGGTGGCTGATCTGAGAGAACCCGTGGCCAGAAGCGGGCTTTCTCGGGCTGCCCATCTCGGATCTAGGAACCGGGGCAGCCTCACCGGTCCCCTTCACCGCAGCCTTCCCGCTGCCCCTCTCCTCCTCGGCCCAGTTCCACAGGGCCCCACCGCTCGCCTCCGGGCCCCCCACGGCCCTGCTCCACCCTGCCACTCCCTCTCCTGGGGTCCCATTCATCTTGGTCCCCCAAATCCCTTTCTGGGTCCCGCGGGGTTCTAGTCGGCTCGGCCCCTCCTCCTCAAGTCAAAGCTACTCATCACCCGCGGGCGCACTCCGCCCTTCCCGCTACCCTCCGGCGGCTGAGTGACGAGCGGACACAAGTCTCGCACCTCGCCCACTCGAGCAGCCTGCGTCTCGGACTCACCGTGTACATCCCCAATGCCTACCGGGAGCCACCACTGCCGGAAAGGAACGTCAGCGCCCGAGACGCCGGAAGTGAGACGTGACCGGAAGTGCGGAGTTCTGCCCAATGCCTCGTGGGAGTTGTAGTTCTCAGCCAAGTCCCGCCTTTCCCTTTGTAAAGTCCACCAGCCTAAAGGGTGTGAGAGCTCCCAAACTGGGTTTGTCTGCATCATCCAGGCTTTTCTTTCTTTCTCTCTTTTTTTTTTTTTTTTTGGTACCAGGGATCGAACTCGGGTCCTTGTGCTTGCGAGGCAGGCAGCGGAACCACTGAGCTAAATCCCCGGCCCCCAGGCTTTTCTTATTCCGCCCTCTTCACTGGCTTCTGGAGCTGGCTCTTCACTACTGTGTCTGACCCGCACCTGACTAAGTGCTTTGGGAAACTAGCAAACCTGGAGGTTTGTATCATGCGTCTAAAACGTTGAACTAGGAATTAGAGAAAAGCTATTTCTACTAGGATTCTTGCTATTCCCAGATGAGAAACGTAGTCATCTCTAATGTCCAGCAAGTTACCAAATTCTGAGCTTTATTTAGAAGCCCTTTAAAGTCCTCAAATGATCCTGTCTTCTCCATTCCCACTATAACTGCTGTAATTCATGCTCGGTCCCCTAATGCTGTTTTTTTCCTCTGGCTTTCTTTTTTTTTTTTTGGTACTGGGGATTGAACTCAGGACCTTACGTTTGCGAGGCAGGCTCCGTGCCACTGAGCTACATCCCCGGACCTCCCTAATGCTGTTTCACTCACATAGCCCTCCTATCTTAGAGCTTCTCCTCCAGTTTTCAATCAGCTACCAGAGAAACTTCCCCCAACAGCATTTGAAGAGTAGACCCTAGGTTCAGAGAGGGGACTGAGAAATCAGGCAGTTGCTTACATAGCGCCTTGGTTCCCAAATCTGTTAAAACGATCTAATTACAGTACTTCAGGGGGTCAGAGGATCAAATAAGATCCCATGTATAAAATTCTGGGCCAATGGGCCGGAGATTTAGCTCAGTGGTTCCGCTGCCTGCTTTGCAAGTATAAGGTCCCAAGTTTGATCCCTGGTACCAAAAACAAACAAACAAACAAAAAAATTCTGGGCCATGGCCGGGGATTTAGCTCAGTGGTTCCAGCACCTGCCTTGCAAGCCCAAGGTCCCAAGTTCGATCCCCAGTACCAAAAAAAAAAAAAAAAAGTATTAGCTAAAAATTCTGGGCCAAGTGTGATGGCATGTGTGTGTAGCCCCAGCTACCGAGGTGGCTGAGGGTAGAGGATTGCTTGAGCCCAGGAATTTGAGGCCAACTCATGCAACATGATGACACCCTGTCTCAGAAAACAAACAAAAACTCAGTAGAGTGCCTGGCAGACGTGTGTCAGTGTTATTCTGTATCTCCAAGTCAGCATTCTTGCACTCAGTATGCATTTATTAAGGATCTATATATGCCTGGCACTGCTCTGAGTACTTGGGAATACACCGATGAACAGGACAGGTAAGGTTTCCACTTCTGGGGAGCTTATCTTCTTACGAACTAATACGCATTACCTGTATTTGAGTATCTGCTCCCCACCCCCCAAACTTGAGCTTCTCTGTTTGTTTGTTTGTTTGCTTGCTTCGGACAGAGTGTTGGTATGAAGTCTAGGCTGATCTTGAACTCACTATGTAGTCCATGATGGTCTTGAACTTTCGATCCTCCTACCTTAGGCTCCAGGATTCCAAGCATGCTGTGATTACAGGCATGCACCGCTATGCCCAGCTTCCAAACTGGAGCCCTTTGAGGACAGGCTTGTCCATTTTCATTGCTTAGGGTCATCCCTAAGCTCACAAGAGATGCTCTAACAGTGAAGAATAATAATAATAACAATTTCTCTACACATAAATTCCAATCTGCTCCTAATTCATGGCTTTGAGTGTGGGTTCTCTGAACCCTATTAGCTGGGCATGGTGGCACATACCTGTAATCCCAGCATTGAGGAGGCTGAGGCAGGAGGATCACTATGAGTTTGAGGCCAGACTGTACCACATAGCAAGAACCTATCTCAAAAAGCAACAAAATGAAATGCCTTATTAACCCTCTTTTCTTATCCAAATCCAACCCATCCTTCAGGACCCTATGCTAGTCTCATTCCCCAGGGAGCTTGCCTTGGCTGATTGACCTTCATAGCACCGTGGTTTAACGTTTTCTTCTAATTGTTTCTGGCATGAAAGTGGACCCTGCTGACCAGGTCCTGTCTCTGGGGTGCACTGCTGATCCAAAGGCCTACAGCAGTGTGAGTACACAGAGGAACCTGGGCTGCAGGCAGGATTTTCACTCCTGCCCAAAGACTGCCTTCTAGCGAAACTTCTCCAGGGTCAGAAAGAGGGGAAGTACGGCTATTCCTGTTTCCCAGACTCAACATTCCCCAAAGGAGCCTCTCTTCAGTGCTCGGTTCAGACACCACACAAAATAAGCACTTCTGGACTCAAAAGAAGTTTAGGACCTAGGAATGGGGATGAGAGGTAATCCTTTGCGACTGCAAGGTGAATGGAAATAAGATGTCAAGCACTCCTCCCACACCTGTAATCCCAGCACTCAGAAGGCCGAGGCAGGAGGATCATTGAAAATTTGAGGCCAGCCTGGCTTACCTAGTGAGTTTAAAGCCAGCCTGGACTACATAACAAGACCCTGTCTCAAAAAATAAATAAATAAAATAAAGTAACAACAACAATTCAGGGACTTCCCACTATCAATGGGTTTAAATCCAATTCTTTTATCCTGTGGTTAAGTTCCTTCCCTGCCCGGCCCTCCCTTCTGCCTCAGCCATGGGGAGCTTTCCCTCTCGACCACTTTCATTTTCAGTGCTTTGATTGGTGGAAGTCATTAAAAGTCAAAGAAAAACCTTTATTGACTACATACTCTTGAAAGCCCTGTGTTAGTTTCTAGGTAAACACATAAGCATGAAGCATGCCACTGAGCCACGGTGTTGTACACATGCAATCCGAGCACTCTGGGAGGCCGAGACGGGAGGATCAAAAGTTCAAGTCCTGCGTGGGCAATTTAGGGAGATTCTGTCTCAAAAAATGAGGGGCTAGGGCTGGGGATTTAGCTCAGTGGTTCTGCTGCCTGCTTTGCAAGCCCAAGGTCCCGAGTTTGATCCCTAGTACCAAAAGAAAAAAAGAGGGGCTAGGGATGCAGCTCAGTGCAAAGGTCCTGGGTTCAATCTCCAGTACAAGAAAAGAAAAAAAGAAAGCAGGAGAAAAAGTGCTGCTTGACTTGGAAGAGGATCTAAACTGCTGGCGAAGATAATCAGATCGTCTTGATAGTGTTTAAGGCTCTCACAGAGGTTAGTACCTGGTTTCCCAGGCTGGGTTTTTGTTTTATCATTCTCTGAACTGTCGTTTTGGTGAGCGAGAGTTCTTTGTTTTTATTACAAAAAATCAATTAGGAGCCAGGGATTTAGCTCAGTGGTTTTGTCGCCTGCTGTGCAAGCACAAGGACCTGAGTTCGATCCCCGGAACCAAAAAAGCAAAACAAAACACCAAAACACCAAAGAATCAAGTAGTACTAGCCGGGTGCAGTAACACACATCTGTAATCCCAGCCCTTGGGAGGCTGAGGCAGGAGGATCACTGTGTGTTTGAAGCCACCCTGGGCAAGATAGTGAGTTCAAAGCCAGTCTGAGCTAGGTAGTGAGAGCCTGTCTCAATGCCCCCACCCCCCTAAAAGCAATTAGTAATGCCCCGGGAGCTGTGCTCTGGGCGGCATTCGAAGACTTGGGATGGTTTGGAAGGTGATAGCAGAGTTAAAACGAAATGCGACCCCGACATCCAGCATAGTGGACAGGAAATGCTGTCCATCAAAGTGTCCTGGGCCCAGGGGAGTCTGCCAACCAAACTCAGGATTGGTACAGACAGCTCCCTCTAGAACCGGGACAATTCCTCCTCAGCACCCTGACAAACCCACTGGATGCGAGCGTCCGGGACAGTGCAGGTGCGCACGCAGCTCGGCTTCAGTCTCCCTAGCGGAGCCCCGGAGGGCCGCCCGCTCAGGCTGGGCTCTGGGGTTGGGGGACCCAAACCAAGAAGCGAGTGAGGACAACTTGGGTGGATGGCAGGGACCTGGGTGCCACCGCAGAGGTGTGCAGGGCCGCTCAGGGCTACGCAGGTGTCAGCTGTGTCCCGGGTCGGTTGGTGTCACAGCTGTCTGCTGCATTGTGGGGGGGGGGGGCAGAGGCAGAGAGAGACACCGCTGCCCCCTGCTGTCTCTCCTTTGGAATTTGCAACAAGACTGCGAACAGTGTGGCTGTGACTGGTCCCAGAAGGAGGTGGTGAGCCACCTGTGGCCGGTGGCACCTGGTGGAGACAGCATCTTGGTGACCCATCGAAGGCCCTTGGAGGGCAGCAGCTGTGGAAGGGTACTGTATGAGTGGGGCTGGATGAACAGGAGCCATCCGGGGTCCAAGAAGCTTTCAGAATCAGGGCTGGTAGATAATAGTGAAGCACTTTTTCTCTGCTTTTACACTGTTTTGTTTTGGTAAAACATACATCACACGAAAGGTGCCACATTCGCCGTGGCAGCATTAAATCCATTCACACTGGTCCTTGGCCATCTCAGAGCCTTCTCATCTCTGCAAGCACTGAACAGTTTCCCTTGCCCTCTCTCTCAGCCCTGGGCAACAACACTCAACTCTCTGTCTCTGTGTGTTTGACTTCACAGAAGTGGAATCATACAATAAATAAATTTGTTTTTATTTTACACAAATAATACATGCTTATGTTCTTTTTTTTGCGAACTGCGGTCCTTGCGCTTGCGCAGCAGGCTACATCCCCGGCCCCATGCTTATATTCTTATTGAAAAACAGGGGCTGGGGATGTAGCTCAGTGATGCCATGCCTGCCTGGTAAGTGCAAGGTCCTGAGTTCAATTCCCCGTACTGAAAAAAAGGTCAAAAATACTAGGATAGTGAGTTAGGCCTGCAGAGCCTCACAAGCTCGCTCGTAGGTGAAGGTTTTGGGAGGCTTTGGGCAGCTGGATCCTAGATGCAGCGTTGGGTGAGGGTGTGTGGTCACTGAATGGTTTAGCAGAGCTCTGGGTATGGATAATGGAGGCCCCACCTTGGCTCTGGGGGCACCAGTCAATAGGCCTGTAGCCAGGATGGAATAGAAAGAAGCAGAAGGAAGCCTGCTGCTTCTCACTGCTTGCTACCTTCCGCCTGGGACTCACTGAGCTGTTTCTCCCTGTGAGGCCCCTCTGCCATGCTACTCTGCCGTGGAGCCAGCCAACCATGGACTGAAACCTCCACAACCGTGAGCTAAATAAACCTGTCCTCCCTTAACTTGTGGGTTGGGTATTTTGTCTCAGCAGCAAGAAAAGTATCTACAATATTGGGCATAGTTGTCAGGATGCAAATCAAATGTAGATCCCTAAGGTTCTTTTTGGCTTTCTATTTTGTTCTTTTGAGTCAGGGTCTTCCCTTAATCTTGTAGTGATCCTCCTGCCTCAGGCTCCCAAGTGCTGGGATTACAAGGATGTGCCACCACACCTTGTTTAATTTCCTTATTTTTCTTTTCTCCTATGACTTCTAGTATTTCTCTTTTTTTTGGTACTGGGGATCAAACTCAGGTCCTTGCCCTTGTGTAGCAGGCGGCTAAACCACTGAGCTAAATTCCTGGCCCCTACAAATGCCACTGGGCTCTCTATGGCCTTCCCCTTTCCCTTGCTAATCAAAGCTATCCCTTAGCCAGGCACACACCTGTATTCCCAGCCCCTGGGGAGGCTGAGGCAGGAGGATCACAAGTTTGGGCAGCTTAGCGAGACCCTCTCTCAAAATAAAAAATAAAAAAGGGTTGGAGATATACTCAGTGGCAGAGCATCCCTGGGTTCAATCCCAGTAACCCCCAAAAGAGTCATTCTTCAATTTTTACATAATTTTTGCAATTTTTCAATTCATTACATTCTCTGGGTACCAGGCACTGGCTCCTCTTGCTGTCAAATTCACCAGCTCATTTGGATTTTCCCCCTCTCTTTCTTTCCTTCCCAGTGTGGACAAACTGTGTCTGAGATTGGGTGGGTGGGTGGATGGAGGGAATACTGGCTCTAACTTCTAGTATTCATTCAGCACGAATTTACCAGTCACTTTCTGGTGCGTCCAACTCTGTTCTGGGGCCTGGGCAGCAGCAGAGAACAGAGTTGCTACAGGCAGTCAGGAACAGGCCCTGCCTGAAATCCCAGCTACACAGGGGGATCAGGAGTTCAAGCCCAGCCTGGGACACTTAGTGAGCTCCTGTCTCAAAACAAAAACTGAAAAGAATTAGGGTATAGCTCAGCAGCCAAATATCCCCAGAGTCAATCCCAAGTACTACAGACGAAACTATTTTTCTCTCAGAACAAAATTCCATGACTTTTTCTTTTGGTACTGACTCTAAGACCTTTACACTGAGATACATATCCAGCCTTTTCTTTTTTTTCAGTTTTGAGATAGAATCTTACTACATTGATAAATTGCCCAGGCTGGGCTTTGACTTGAGGTCCTCCTGCCTCAGCCTCTCGGTGCTGAGTGTCCACCACCATGGCTGGCCTATCCCTTTCTTTGTAATGCGATGATACTGGACAATAGAACTTTCAGTGGCAATGGAAATATTTTATAATATCTCCACTGTCCAGCATGGTAGCCACCAGTTACCATATGGCTACTGAGTATTTAAAATGTGACTGGTTAAGAAAAAAATGAATCTTATTTCATTTTTTTGTTGATGTTTTTTGTTTTTTGGTACCAGGGATCGAACTTGGTACCTTGCACTTTCGAGGCAGGGGCAGGAAACACTGAGCTAAATCCCGGCCCCGAATCTTATTTCATTTTAATTCAAGTTTGTTTTTTTGTCTGTCTGTTTGTGACAGGGTCTTGGTATGTGGTTCAGGTTGGCCTTGAACTCACTATGTAGCCCAGGCTGGCCTCAAACTTTTGGAAATCCTCCTGCCTCTGCCTCCCCAGTGCTGGGAATACAGATGTGGCCCACCACATCCAGCCACTAGCATTGGCCACTGGGAGCTCTTCAGTTGGGTCTTTTGTTCTTTGTTAGCTCCTGCAGGTATGTTTGTGGTTGTTTTAGAGACTTTCTTTCTTTCTGGCCTAAAAGGTGCCCTGGCCTCTTGTTTATTCCCTTCTCTAGCCCTAGAATCAGCCCTTTCTCCAAGGAGTCCTAGTCCCTTTTTTTATTTTGTTTTGGTTTTGGTACAGGGCATCAAACTCAGGTCCTTGCGCTTGCAGGGCAAGCAGCGGAACCACTGAGCTAAATCCCTGGCCCTAGTCCCTTTTTTGGAAAACGATATTAGAAATTAAGATCTGGTACTTGGTGTGGATCTTGCCTCTAGGTATCATTCCTTGTCATGTCCTTTCAGCTGGCAGAACAAGGGAATACATGGAGATGTACTAACCTAGGCATATCCAAGTATCTGCAAATATTTCTATATATACACGTGTCTGTATTAACCTAAACATGGCCAACACCAGTGCCTCCAACTATCACGCATTACCACATAGATCCTTCCAGCCTCCTTGCTTACTATAAATTCCCATAGTGAGGACTGTGTGCACGTGTAGAGCGTAGTTGTTTTTTTTTTTTCCAGTACAGGGAACGGAACTCAGGACCTTGTGCTTGCCAGGCAGGCTCGGTGCCACTGAGCTACACCCCTGCCCCACCCCGTTTTTTAGACATGGTCTCACTGTGTAGTTCAGGCTGGTCTTGAATTCTCTATATATCCCAGACTGACCTGACTCCAGGCAGTCCTCCTGCCTGGGCCTCCTGAGTGCTGGGATTACAGGTGTGCACCACCACACCCGGGTTAACCAGAATTGTTAACAGTACACCCATGGGAAACAACTATGTCAGCTACAGTATTCTGTTTATGTAGTTTCTTTTGGCTTTAGTTTTATAGATTCTACTCACTTCTAAATTGCATAGTTCAACCCCCCCTCCCCCAGTGAAGGTGTTTCCACATTTGCAATAGCTTCTCTCGTCATATTCTCTATTCCATCCTGGGCTCTCGACCTAAATGATTGATTTATTTTTTTCAGCTTGTATACATCAAGGTTCACTGTTTATGTTGCAAAGTTCTATGGGTTTTGACAAATGCATAGTATCATGTATCCATTATTACAGTATCGTACAAAATAGCCTCTCTGTCCAAAACAAAACAAAACAAAACTATGAGAATGAAACAGTAAAAAGAGGATGGAAAATACAGAGGATGAGACAGAAGAGCTGAGGTTGGACGTGTGCACGCGCGCGCGTGTGTGTGTCTGGGGATTGAACCCGGCCGGGGCTGTATTGCGTGCTAAGCATGTGCTCTACAATTGAGCTTCATCCCCTGCCTGTGGGCCTTTTTTTTCCTGGACAGGGTCTCACTATGTTCTGGCTGGCATTGAACTCATGATGATCTTCTTGCCTCAGCCTCCCAAGTGCTGGGATTACAGGTGTGCGCTAACATTATTAGAGTCCAGAAGATGAGGAGGGAGAGGAAGAAGCAATCTTCAGAGACACAATATGAGACTCACCTTGAATTCATGAGAACCATCAATTTACAGATGCATGAAGCCCAAGGAATTAAAACAAACTTCTCTTCTGCAAAAAATAAGAGCAGGATGGCCACACATCTGTACTCCTAGCACTCTGGGAGGCTGAGGCAGGAGGGTCAAAAGTTCAAGCCCAGCCTGGCCGGCTTAGCAATTTAGCAAGACCCTATCTTATTTTTTGTACCAGGGCTCAAACTCAGGACCTTGCACTTGTGAGGCAGGCACCAGAACCAGTGAGCTAAATCCGTGGCCCCAAGACCCTATCTTAAAAATGGGCTGGGGATATTGCAAATGCTCTGGATTAAATCCCTCACGCAGAAAAAAAAATAATTAAAGCTGGTAACCATGCTGGTAACCCAACTGAGTTAGGAAACAGGCTGGAGGAGCAGTTGAAGCCAAGTATGCAACCCTATCTGTTAATACAGATGTTGATACAACCCCACTGAAAGCAAAACAACAAAATACAGTGTATGGGGGACAGCAGTAAACGGAGTTGGAGTGCATGAAGCTCTTCATCATCCTCAGAGAAAATGTCAGTGATAGACATGGAGAAGTCAAGGATGAAGGGTTTGCTAAGCCACTAAATGTTTTGTTAACCACAAAACAAAAAAAAGCAATGTGTAACAAACTAATACAGAAGGAACATAAAATAAAATTTACTATTCAAAAATGACAAAAAAACCCAGATTTTTTTTTTTTTGGTACTGGGGATTGAACTCGGGTCCTTGTGCTTGCACAGCAGGCAGTGAAACCACTGAGCTAAATCCCCGGCCCTTGATCCTCTTTTTTTGAGACAGGGTCTCCCTCTGTAGTTCAGTCTGGCCTTGAAGTCCCAGCAATCCTCCTGACTCAGCCTCCCAAGTGCTAGGACTACCGCTGTGCGCCACCACGCCCAGCCCTCCTTTCCTTAAACCATGTATTATTCACACTTCCAGGATCAGTGATCAGTCATCCCTCAATCTTTAAAGTCTCTTAACACCTGTGATAAGCAACGCCAGCTTCAGGTTCCTCTGGGTCCTACCTTGTGCCCTGCAAAGCTGCTGCCTTTAACAGCCTTCTCACGCTTAGAAAGCACACACCAACACTCCCAACAGGTCACACCATTTATTTACAGAGGCCAGCGTGGGCACCGTGGAGGGCGGGCGGGAAGGGCAGGCATCTCTGGACTGCTGGACCCTTCCCCACTCGCAGCAGACTCTGTTCCTCTTGCCTCCTCCGCGTCATCAGCCAGGGGCCCCCACGCCAGGGGCTGGGGGTGACAGAGCCTCCTCGGGGCCCAAACAGAGCCACGTCCAGTTCCAGATTCCAGGCATCATGGCCACCCTGCCCTTTTCTTCCTGGAGAAGAACTCTGTCAGGGACAGAGCTCAGCAGTCCACCACTTGCCTAGCATGCGTGACTCCTTGGGTTCAATCCCCAGCACCACAAAAAACCCAAACAAAAACACTTTCTGGCCTGGAAAGAAACAGTGAACAAAAGGACTCTGACAGAGAAACCCTCTGCTCTTACTGAAAGCAGTGACAGGAAGCAAAGGGCCAGTTACAGCCCGGCAGCCCAGGAGGCTTTCACACTGCCTGTGTGACGCAGCACCCCAAGGTTCAGGGAACCCAGCTCTCCCGACGCCTACTGCTGCAGAAATACACACACACACACACAAACACACACACACAGGCACGCTACACCACTGTGAGGCAGATCTCCACCCCCTTCGTATCTTTTGGAGGGAGCAGAAGTCACTGTGCCAAGATACAGGAGGCCCTGGGTCCGTGGACACCCATGCGTGTGTGCGTTTGTGCAGCAGAGCCGACAAGACTGTGTGCTTCAAACTGCCTGGCTTCATGGAGCCCCGTCAATTCTGGTTCTCCCAGCGTCTTAGTCTCTGCCTGGCCTGAGTTCTCCTGACTAAAGAGCTACGAGTGCTTCCACACCCCAAATGTCACCTCTAGCTCCAAGCTTCTGGCTCAGGCTGTCTCACCCATTCTCTTCCTCCGAGGGACTGCGCCCTCTCCCCATGACACCCGTGGGCGCTGGGCTCCCCTTTGGCAAGGAGGGCAGGCATCTCTGCTGTCCCCTGAAGTTCCCACAGAGAATGAGGAGGGGCTGGGTGGAGTAACCAGAACAGAAGCTGAGGAGGAGACAGGCCTGGAGGCCTGGCCCCCTGGTGTGACAATCTAGGCGGGCTGGCCCGGGTGGGGAGGGAGGGAAAGAAAAGGGGTCCACGCTAAGCCCTAGTGGTGCAGATGGAAGACTTCGCTCCAGCCCCTCAGCCAGGTCCCCCTCCCAACGCTGCGGTCCCACTGAGAAGCCTGAAGACTTCCAAAGGTGGCCATGCCAGGAGGGGCAGTCGGCAGAACTGCAAACTGTTTGAAGGGCGCTGCTCAAGGAGGGCCAGGAGAGAAGATTCTGTTAAGAGAGAACAGTGAGGGCCAGGGATGTAGCTCAGTGGTTCTGCTGCCTGCCTCGAAAGCGTAAGGACCCGAGTTTGATCCCCGGTACCAAAAAAAAAAAAAAAGACAGCAGTTAAGACTGAAACTCTCAGACAGAGCCGCAGGGCTGGGGCCTGTGCCTCTGAGATCACTGCTGTGTGGGGAGGACGAAGAAGAGAGGGACAGCTGCAGAGGGAGGGGCCGACAGGCACCAAAGGCTGGCACTGAGTCGAAGGATGGCAGGAGGCACGGGCCGAGGTTAGGAGAGCTGGGAGCCCAGGAGTCTCTCGATGGCGGCGTTGATGTCCCCTCCTGTGGCGATCAGGGCCTGCAGGTTGGCCTCACGATTGATGAAGCCCATGGAGTTGAGCTGCTCCAGCTGCTGCTGAAATCTGACTTCTGGGGTCTGCACCTGGAGGGAACAGGGATCATGAACTGGGCACAGGGTACAGCCCAGGGGGATTGTCTGACCTTAGTGTGTGAAGCAAGTAAGGGGCTGGGCACGGTGGTGCTCACCACCTGTAATCCCAGCCTGCTAGGAAGCTGAGGCAGGAGGACTGAAAGTTCAGGCCCAGCTTGGGCACTTAGTGAGACTGTATCGAACTAAGAAATAAGAAAAGGGCTGGGGATGCAGCTCAGTGTGAAGGCTCTGGGTTCAATCTCTAGTACTTGGAAGAAAAAAAAGACCAGTAAGAGCTGGATATGGTGGTGCTTCCTTATAATTCCAGCACTCTGGGAGGCTGATGCAGGAGGGCTGCAAGTTTAAGCCCAGCTAGCGGAATTTAGTAACTTAGCCAGATCCTGTCTTAAAATTTAAGAAACTTTAGGGCCGGGGATTTAGCTCAGTGGTTTCGCTGCCTGCTGCGCAAGCGCAAGGACCGAAGTTTGACCCGAGTTTGATCCCCGGTACCAAAAAAAAAAAAAAAAAATTTAAGAAACTTTAAAAAGGGACTGAGGATGTAGCTGGGGGAAAGGCCTTGGGTTCAATCCAGAGAGAACAGGAGCGTGGGCAGCAGTCTCTACACCTCAGAGTCCATCAATGGGATGGGCAGAGAGAGCTGCAGTAGGGCAGAAAGCCTGGGCCCCAGGCCACTAAATGACTACAGTAACCTAAGGTGGGGATGGGTGGGACGCAGCTTAGTGATGGGGAGCTCCCCTAACGTGTAAGTCCGGGCTTCCATTTCTCTGTACCAAAAAAAAGCAGTGGATATCTTTCTTAAAATTTCAGGCAGGCCTAGGGCCAGGGGTTTAGCTCGGTGCCACTGCCTACCTCGAAAGCGCAAGGTCCCAAGTTTGATCCCTGGTACCAAAAAAAAAAAAAAAAAATCAGAGTCCTATTCATTTCAGGCAGGCCTGCATCAGCTTAGAGATATTAACAGGTGCTCCAACTGCCCTGTAATCAAATAAGATGCATGTTCAGTCGGGCACCGTGGTGCACACCTGTGATGCCAGCACTTGGGAGGCCGAGGCAGGACTGCTGGGAGTTTGAGGCCAGCCTGGGGTACATAGAGAGTTCAAGGCCACCCAAGCCCTGTCTCAAAAAAAATCATGTTCAACATACCCTCTCCTGACAGTCACCACATATACAGCCATACCCCAGGCAGAGGAGGGTCCAAGGAAAGAGAGCCTGGTTTAATACAGTTTTACTGATCAACAAACAATTATTTACAAAGCACAGGCTTTTCACTTTTTTCTTTTTGGTACCGGGGATCGAACTCGGGTCTTTGTGCTTGCGAGGCAGGTGGTGGAACCACTGACTAAATCCCTAGTCCTTAGAGGCTTTTCACTCTTGACATTCCAATAGCCATCTCCTGGGAGGTGTTTTCCTAGGCGACGCTTGAGAAGCACTTTCTCAGATCTCTGACAGAAGAGTCAGTGCTCAAAGGGGCTCAGTGATCGCTATCCACTGCACTGATAGGAGACAAGTGTGGTCTGGAGGAAGGATGGACTGGCTCAGGGTCGCAGAGCAAGCTCAGCCCCAGGGCCCTGACCTACACCATCACTCTCTGTTGTTTCTCAGTGCGGTCCAGAGTCCACACCAGGCCAGACCTTGGAGACCACCTGGGCCCGCCCTCCTGCCGCCTGGAGAGCTTGGAACACACATACACACCTTTGCAGGCTCCCCCTGCTTCGTCCCGCCCCTCACTTTACCAGCCAGGACACTGTCACTCCACCTTCCACACTTATCCCTGAGTCCCCAGGACGGACACTGCTTTCATTACCAAAAGAATCCTCTGCCGGGGCTGGGGGCATGGCTCAGTGGGGAGGCTGAGCTGGGCATGCACAAGGACTGGCTTCGATCCCTCGCACCAGTAGAAATGACACAGCACAGCAAAGTGTGGACTCTGGAACAGAATGCTCTGGCTTGCATCTCGGCCCCATTATCTCCTAGATGGTAATGGAGCACCCACTTAACTGCTCAGGGCCTCAGTTTCCCCATCTAGGCACAGAGACAGTTATCAGAAGGGCTTTCTGTAAGGTGGAGAGGAGTAAGGGAAGGAGCTGCTGCCGTGGTAAAACACTCAGCACCTGGTAAGTGCTGCTGCCATCCTCACCGCCATGAGAACTGAACTCAGGGAGACCATAAGCTGTCTGAGGCCAGGGGGTGGCCAGGTTTGCTGACTGCAAAGCCTGCCCTTGGAGTGCAGGTGGGAGCGGTAGCCTCAGGTACCAGCCCACGCTGCTGCCTGCATACCTGTGAGTCTCCACTTCCAGCGAGAAGCTGGATCATCTGCTGCATGAGCTGCTGTGGGGCACTGGGAGGCCCGGTGGGGGACGTGGCTGCCATGGCTGGCGAGGAGGTGGGGGCCTCTGCTGTGGACCCAGAGGTGCTGCCTGCCGAGGGTGCCGGGGTCCGGGGCATCCCGAAGGAGCCAAGACTGCAGGCAGGAGACACCAAGAGATAGGAGATGGCATCCAAGGAAGGAATGAGAGCACAGGTCCAAAAGGAAGGGCAGAGACACCAGGGCTGTTCCGAGAAAGGCAGAAAGAAGGGATGACAGCGACAGCTAGAGCCACGCTGGCCACCCGGCCCTCACCTGGGGACCAGCCCAGGGGCCTCGGTCTGCAACGTCTGCAGTCCCTGCTGGATCTGCAGTAGCGCCTGCATGGCACGGGGGTTGGTGAGGATCGACAGTGACTCTGGGTTCTGCATCTGGGAAGCAAGCAGAGAAAGGTGCTGGGAGGCAGCAGGGCTAAGGAGCCGCCAGAGGCCGAGTCCAGAGCAAGGCTCTGCCCAGCTTTAACGTCCACCCCAGCCTGCAGGCCTCTCCCTCACCTGCTGCAGGAAGACAGGGAGCTGCAGGCGAAGCTGCTCCTGCAGCTGGGGGTTCCCCGCGAAGAGTGGCACGTTCACCATCATCTGCCAGAGGAAAGGTAGGAGGAGGGGGCCTGGGCCTTCCCAGCCCAAGAATTCCCCTACAGCCTCAGAAACCCTCGGCACCCCGCCACTGCTGGAAGTCTGGCCAGCATTTCCAGGGGTCTCGAAGATCCTGAAGATCGGTGTGGGACAGGGAGAAGAAAAGGGTCACGATGGAGCAATGAAGAGGCAGGAATCAGACTGGCCCAGGTCTGATGACGATGGGGGTGGGGGAGGAGAAAGCCAAACATTTTCACGTCCTGTGTAAGGTCCTTACTGTGTGCTGGGCCATGTTCTAAACATTTGACATGTATTAATTCCTTGAATCCTCACAACTCCATGAGGCAGGAACTGATGCTAGTAGCATTTGGTGGATGAAGAAACTGGTAGGTTAAATAACTTGCTCAGCTCACAGAGCTGGGGAGTGGACAGTACAGGATACAGGCCCAGGCAGTCTGGCTCCAGGACATTCTGACCATAAGCAGCTGGCCCCACCCCAGCTCCTGCCCCTGCCACACTTCTCTGTGCCGCTGGGATACCTGAGCAGCAAAGTCAGGGTTCTGGGCCAGCGTCTGCATCATGCTGCGCATGTAGGGGGCCGAGATCACGTTTTGCATGAGCTGGGGGTTCTCTGAGATCTGCTGCAGGAGTGACTGCATTTCTGGGCTGTTGAACATCCCTGGCACATGGGGAAACAAAACAGGAGAGAAGGGTCCCGATGGAGACCAGACACCCACTCCGGTACTTCTCGCTCCAGACTGAGTGATTCCCAGGTCAAGGACTGCAGCATGGGCCCCAGGCTGCCCTGAGTCCTAGGTCAGCTTGCCTCAGACCTCTCCCATCAATTCTGAGCACAAGCCGGCTAGAAAGAGGGCCTAATTTCTGCCCTTCTGGTCTGTTCCTGCCACAGGCTCCAGTTGTGTCTAAGCGGAAAGGACTGGTCATGGGTTACCTAGACCAATGGCTTTCAAGCCCATCTTAGCGGCAGAGACCTTCTCAGCCACTCACTCGGAAACCAAGTCCTTACGCAGAGGTCTCGTTCATGCTGGTCTAGGAGGCCTGGAGCCTCTCCCATTCGGTCCTTTGTCACCCTAAAGATGGGGACATCCAGGCCCCCCAGGACTCCAGAACACAATTTTAACACCATGGATCAAGTTCCGGTCCTTATTTTATAAATAAGGAAACTAAGGCCCACAGAATGAAAGGACTTTCCCAATCGAGATATCCTCCAGGGTGCAGAGAAATCAGGGCACCTATCAAAGACTTCCCTGGGGCCACACGTACAGGTGACAGTCCAGATCAACTGGCATTACCTTGGGGTGGGCAGTGCACATGAGGCTCTGTACGTGGCAACCAGGCAACCCCTCCCTACAGCCTCACATCTGCAAGACCCTAGGCCGCCCTGATTCCTCTCCCATCAGCCCCACCTGCCTCCCGACTGCCAGTCTGACCATTTATACCACATGGGACCAAAAGTGCTCAAGGAGCTCAGGAGACAGGGCCTGGTTAATCCATGAGCCAACACTCAGGTCACTCCCAGGGACAGGACAGGGCTTGAATCAAGTCACCCTCTGAAGGGTGGGGCCACTACCCAAACTGCTGAGTCCTTTCTGTAGCTTTTTTGGAGGGGGGGGGGCTTTTTTTAGACAGGCTCTCACTAAGTACTTCAGGCTGGCCTTGAACTATGTAGCCCAGGCTGGAATCAAACTTGCAGGGATCCTCCTGCCTCAGCCTCCCTAGCGCTGGGATCATAGGTGTGCGTCACCACACCCGGCTTCCCTCCGTAGCTTTCATACAGTCTCACCTCTTCTGTGGCAGTGCGAACCCCATTTGGTTCCAGGGCAGAGGGGGCTCCCTGGTGACCCAAGTGAGCTTGCACCCTAGGACATACCTGACCCCAGGCTGGTCGCACTGATCCCAAAAGGGTTCGAGACTGTCGGGTGCACCTGGCTTGTCCCCGATCCTCCAGTGCCCTCCCCACCGGGCCCGGGAGCCTGGGAGGTGGGGGGTGAGGGGCTCCAGGGGTTCGGGAGGGGCTCTCGATTCTCAGTCCTCAGAGGCTGGGAGGAGGAGCTGTCGGAGTTCCCGGTCAGGGAGGAGAAGGGGTTGTTGCCAAACTGGGAGGAGGGAAAGGTTTCGGGTTAAGGACGGAAACAAATCTGCGACAAGGGCTAGGCCCTGCCTCTCTTCTCACCTAATAGCCTCCCTCACAGGAAAGGACAGCCACAGTTTAGTTCTCTCCCCAAGGGACAGCTCCAACCCTGCCCTCAAGACTTCTGATGCTAAAGAGTGCAGAAGGAGCCTTAGATTCAAAACCTCCCCCCTCCCTGCAGGCTCTGAACCTTGGTCTCTAAACCCTGTGGCCATGGCACTTTATACAGCTTTTCCTGTAGCTCCGCAGGGGCAGCCCCTTCGAACAGGCGCTCAGTAAGGGCCGGCTTGACCCACAGCTGCCTCCATCCAATCCTAATTCCCTGGAATCCTCTCCCTCCCCTGCCCATCCCGACACACCGAAGGCACCCGCCCATGCAGCCCTCTCCCTTGCACCTTTGCCTCCTCCGGGCCTGCTCACCCACTGCTCCAGGGCCCCAGGAGAGGGCCCCAGTAAGTCCCCCAGCACTGCAGCACCCCAGACATAGAGCTCTGTCAGAGGCGTGAGCTTCTGAGGGAGCTCCAGACCCCATTTCCCGCCCTCAGCCTTCGGTAGAGCTGGAGGCAGCCCAGCAGCTTTGGCCCTTCTCCACTGTGGCACTTCCTGTTATGCACAGTGGGTCAGGGGGCAAGGCTGACCAAGGAGCTCCTCGCTCTGCGCTGTGGCTCCTCTGTCTCTCCTTCCCCTCCTTTACCAGATGCCAGTTCAGGTAAAGGGCTCACAGGCCAGGTTCATCCACCATGGGTTCAGCTTTGTCCCTGCTCTTAAGTTTCCGGTTCTGAGTCCTGGTTTATTCTTCCTGATACACCCTAAGGACTACATCTCTTCTTGAATTGGCTGTAGTGATAGCAGCTGCCATTTATTGAGCACCTACTATGTCCTTGACACATGTATTCTAATGCTTAGAAAGTCCCCCTAATACGCCACTTCTCAGAGCCTGGTCCTAGGATCCCTGCAGTTTAAAATGGTTTTCCTGATACAACATTCAATGGAATGAATGCAGAGCTGAGAAGCCAGCTGTTAACAGAAAGCCAGACTTTAAGGAGATCTGCGAAAGTGTAAATCAAGGCCATGCTTTCCTCTAAAACTTTGTTTTGGAAAATAAAGTTATTTTTCAAAAGAATGTTATTTATAGTAACTTGTCATGAATTATTATTTTTAAATGAGTTAAATATTTAAAAATTTTATCAGTTTTAATTTCTGGCAGTGAATACTGATTAACCCATAATGTCTACCACCCTGAACACACCTGATCTCGTCAGATTAACCCATAAAAACCAAAGCTAGGGTCCTCCGTAATTTTTTCTCTCCCTATAATTTTTTTTTTGATACTGGGGATCGAACTCTGGACCTTGGGCTTGTGAGGCAGGTGGCAGAACCACTGACTAAATCCCCAGCCCCTCTGCCCATAATTTTTTAAGAGTATGAAGAGATCCAGAGATCAAATAGCAAAGAGCCACTGCTATAATACATCCAGTTTTAAAACGAGGAAGCTAGGGCTGAGGATTTAGCTCAGTGTTGTAGTGCCTGCCTCCCAAGCACAAGGTCCTGAGTTCAATCCCCGTACCGAGAAAAAAAAAGACAAGAATAACCAAGAGGGTTTTGAAGAATACAATGGGGAATTTCACTTCACCAGATACCAAAGACTAAAACAATACGAAATCATTGTAGGGGTAGAAAAACAAACCAGGAACAGAGGGTCGGCAAAAGACACACTCTTCTGGGAAACTCGGAGGAGGATGGAGACTTTAAGAACAACTGATCTAGGGCTGGGGATTTAGCTCAGAAAGAACAACTGATCTAGCCGGGCTAGGTGGGCCAGGTGCCGCACGTCTGTTACCCAGCCACTGGGGCTGAGGAAACCGGCTTGCTGTGACTTCGAGGCCAGCCTAGGGTACATGGACACTGTGGTTCCTTTCCTTTTGTCAAGAGACAAGTAAGGAGAGGTCCTGGCCTCACCCTGGGTCCTGGCTGATTGTTAAAATTTATCAAACCACATAATGATCGTATGTGCTTTTTTCTTTTTTACTCTCTTTTGCTCTCCTGGGGACTGAACCCAGGGCCTCACACTGAGCTATATCCCCATCCCCTTTTTATTTGTCTGTACTTTCCTTTTTTTGTTTTCTTTTTTGAGACAGGGTCTCACTGTGTAGCTCAGGCTGGCCTCAAACTCATGATGATCCTCCTGCCTCTGCCTCCTGAGTGCTGGGATTACAGCCATGTGCTACCACGTCTGGCTCCCTTTTTATTTTTAAAAATTAATTTAAAATATTTTAAAATTATTTTATTTGGGGGGTGTTTTGATTTGTTTTGTTTTTGAGATAGGCTCTCACTATGTATTTCTGGCCGGCCTTGAGCCTGTGGCAATCCTGCCTCAGCCTCCCAAGTGCTGGCATTACAGGTGTGTGCCCCACATCGGGCTCAATCAGTTTTTGCGGTGCTAGAGATTGAACCCGTGGGGTGCTAAGCTATGTTCCCAGACTTTTTATTTTATTTGGAGACAAGATCTCGCTAAATCGGCCACACCAGCTTTGAGCCTGCAATCTTTCTGCCTCAGCCCTCCAGGTGGCTGGAATTAGACATGTGCCACCTGGCATATTTGTACTTTCCTGCAGTTAAATTATTTTTTTTTTTGGTACCGGGGATCGAACTTGGGACACTGCGGTTGTGAGGCAGGTGCCGGAACCACTGAGCTAAATCCCCGGCCCGATAAAATGTTTTAAAAAGAGCAAATTAGAATGATATGAAGACCATCATAGCACTTCTACAAGGTCTAAAAATAACACTAAACAATACTACAGATGTTTACAGACCTATAAAAGGTAATAAAGAAATCAGAAAGCCAGGCGTGGTGGTGCACACTAGAATTCCCAGCACTAGGGAGGCTGAGGCAGGAGGATTGCTGCAAGTTCAAGGCTAGCCTGAGCTACCAATCTCAGGCTAGTAGTTACCTCTAGTGAAGGAATGAGAGGAATATGATTGAGGAGGGTACGTGAATACAACTCTACCCATAGTGTCTTATGTCCAGATATCATATACGTGTAGGAAAATATACAAGGCACCAACAACATTAGCGATCGGGGAGTAGAAAAGGGGTGGCTGGGAGGCAGAAACAGAAGGATCCCTTTTGTATTCCCTTTTTTTTTGTATTCCTTTTTTTAAAGCTTAGGCCACTTCCCATACTTTGTGAATACCCTTTTGTTAACTTGGTGTAACTTCTGCATTTTGAGATATGTAAATAAATAATGTTTAGTGTATAGTTAAACTCTGGAAAGCCAGTGAGATTCTACATGGCAACATGCATACGAGAGAATGCTCTACTTTTAACTACACTTTTTGCATACTTGGAATGAACTCATAAAACATTTTCTCAAGTGCATAATCCTGGACCATGAACCCAGAGCCTGACTCAATTCTTAGCCCAGGCTGCGGACCAAGAACCTCACCATTTCCAGGCTCCCTGGGTGCATCTGCCATGGGGCCCCATGGATCATGCCTGAGATAGGCCATACTAGGCTGGCATTTGACCCCAGGTCTGCCCCCCAGGCCCCTCACTGAATGTCATGCCCCGCGGACACATACCCACCACTCTCCGGAGGCCCTCCTGCTCTGCAATGTGGGGAACACCGGTAAGCCAGGGCCCGTCTCTCAAGGGGCAAGTGGAGAACACCCAGGCTTGCCTGTCTGGGGGTGGGGACTCCCGAGCCCGGGCAGCCCCCACTGCCCTGCCCCTGGCCCACCTGCTCTCGGGCCGCACTGAACATGGGCTCCTGGATGTCCGTGTACATGCGCCGGAGGGCATTGTAGCCCCCGGGAATGCTCTCCAGATTGCTCAGGGCCCGGTCCTGGTTCCGCATCATCTCTTGCATCATGGCTGGATTCCGAGCAAGCTCCATGGTCTGGTGGAGACAGAGACTGGATGGAGGCAGCCAGGGGAGCACCAGCCCAGGGAAAGGGTGCGCAGGCCGGTCTGTGCACTTCTGCTACTGTAAGGGGGGGTTCTGGTTGGCTTTTCCTAGTGGAGGACAATGAGCTCCTGGAGGGGCTGAGAGCGCAGCTCCCCTTTCAGGCATCAGGGAGCCCACAGAAACTGAGCAGGAAGGGAAGAAAGGAGGCAGCAGCGGGAAAATGAACCTCTCTCGAGCGTCTACTACTTAACAGGCCCTGGGCTAAGGAATCCCACAGCAATCACCCCAGGCAGGTATTTTTTTTTCCCCCACCAATAAGCAACAGAATTTATTTGGAAATTTCTAAACCTGCCAGAAGTGGCATTCACCAAGCCCTAAGTTCACGAAGTTCCCAAGGCACAACAGTCCTCCCAGCCTCTCCTCCTCACCCTGCCCCCCACCATGCACAACCCCTACTCTGGCCAGGTGAAAGAACTGGTACACCCCTGCCTCAGAGGTTCCACCTCCCCTGTGGTGGGGAGCCCCTGGCATCTCGGGAGATGACTGCAGCCATAGCCGCTTGCATAGATTGAGAAGACAAAGGGAAGGAGCAACCAAATAGGGCTCCCTGAAAAACCCCAACTTAGCCCTGCACAGTAAAAGTGGCTCCCACATAGAAAAACCTGCTCCCCACACAGTGCAAATACCCAAAGGAAAGGAAAAAACCAGCAGCATGGCTGGGCGTGTAGGAATGGCAAAGAACTTTGGTTTAGAAAGGCTAGGAAGAGTCTAGGCTGGGCCTCCTCTTCCTTGGCCAGCTCCCCAGACCCAGCTCTGACCCTGGCCCAGGAGGAGAGCTTGTAAACATGCAAACCCAGCAAAGGTGGGTATTCTTGCCCCCATTTTTGCAGATGAAAAAATGGGCACCAAGATAGTCAGACTTGGCGCCCCAAGACACACAGCCAGGTAGGGGTAGAGGCAGGTTTCAAGGGCAGGTTGGCTTCTCTGACTGAGACCACAGTGTACGTAACAGGATAGGCAGGGAAAAGTTCAGGCTAGAACAAAGCTAAACACAGCCCTACTCCCACCCCAGGGCTCTGCCTGACTCAATCTCTTTTCTCTTCAGTGCTGAAGAGCGTACCCAGGCCCTGGTGCATGCCAGGCAGGTGCTCTACTAATGCACTGCACCCCAGCCTGACTGAACCCTGACCAACACTGAAGATCCAGACTTTCTTCTTGAGAGCCTAGGGCTCATTCTCAATCAGGGGTCCCCTGTGTCAACCCCAAGGGAGTTTGTGGCAGAGAAAGTGAACACAGCTACTTGCTCATATTCGACTTGGAATAACTTCCCTCTCCTTTCTTCCTAATCTGCTCCACCACTGCCTCTCCGAAGATTCCTTGATAGTCTGACCCACAGGGCCTCACAGAACTCTGATCTACTGTCCCATAATTCATTTTTCCAGTACTTACTGGTGACTACATACAGCAGGCAGAGTTAGAGTCAGGGAACAAAATACTTGAACATCTTTGCCCTTATGGAACATATGGAAGTTGTCTTCTGGTGGGGTCAGCTCTGCTGGGAACACCATCTATCCTCGTGTCCCAGCGGGCTGGAGCCCGAGACAGGGTCCTAAACACCAGGGGTGAAGTGGCCTCTGCAGGGTCCCCTTCCCCACCGGGCCTGCCCAGCCACAACTTCCCAAACCGCCTATTGTCTTTCACTCCCAAGCCTGTGCCTGCACTGTCCCTTGGCCCTGGATGCTCAGCTTCTTGCCCTGGTTCACCTACTCTCCTCACTGGGAGTCCATCTGGAGATCCCTGCCCCAGGGTGTGGTCAGGGTCCTTCCCAATGCTGACTCTCCTCAGGACCTGTGAGTCTCCTCTGGTCAGTGCTAACCACAGAACTACAAATGCCTGTCCACTGGTCCCACTTCCCTCTAAGACCCGTGGTTCCTGTGTCGTCCTACGGCTGAACCTCAAGTCTTCAGACTACAGCTGCCAATGGATAAATGAACAAATTAGTGCAGGGCAGGGTACAGCTGGGCACCAGGTGCCCTCTACTCCCTCTGTACCCACCTGCCTCATGAGCTCGGGGTTGTTGAGCATGTGGCTGATCTCCGGGTTCCGCTCCATCAGCTGCTGCATCTGGGGGTTGGCCATGATCATGTGGCGCATGAGGTCAGGGTTAGACATCATATCCTGGACCAAGGGGTTCTCCATGATCTGTGACAGCATCTCAGGGTTGGACATCAGCTGCCTCTGCATCTGCTGCTGCAGCTCCATGAAGTTGGCAGAGCCAAGGCCCAGGCTGCCCAGCCCCAGGATGCCCCCAAAGCCAGCTGTAGGGAGGGCGCAGGGTCACAGTCCACCCCCAAAGCCCCTCCCCCACCTAGCAAAGCCAGTGAATTCAGGTCTCCAGGACGGGCCCTAACTGCTTCTCATAATCCCCCTCTTCTCCTGACCCTGATTGCGCTGGCCAGAGAGATGTGAGACCTCTTTGATGGCAGATGCTGAGCATGAGCAGAGAGGAAGTGACCACTGGTAGCCTGTTGAGTGAGTAAATAAGCACTCTCCATGTACTTGCTGTTTGGGGCCAGCTTTTCCCGACACACAGGCTCTTCCAATCTCCTCACCTAAGACTCCCACTTTCCCAGCTCCCTTTCACCCTTCACTGCTAACACTCAGCTATGACTCAGCTATGCCCCCTCCTCTGGGCAGTCCCCATGGACTTGCTCCTCCCCAGCTCGGCTCAACCTAGTTCCCTCACACTAGGAGCAGGGATTATGTCCCCTCCTGTCCACTCTCCCCACTCCCCAGCCCAACACAAGATCATGCTCTCCTCCCTACAGGCTTACAGAGTATAGATGCAGTAGCACTGGGGGGTCCCTCCCCAGCCCCCGGGGAGGGACCCCCCCCACTGCTCCTCCGACTTCCACTGCCAGCATCCGAAGGGGTGCTGCCAGAGGTCGAAGGCTGGGCAGGGGTGGCAGGTGAAGCAGGCGTGGTGGAGGGCGCTGAGACAGGGTCAGGAGTGGAGGGGGAAGAGGCTGTGGCAGCAGCTGGATCTGCAGTCCTGAGGACAGAGAAAGGGGAATCCTGGTTGGAGTGAGCGCAGGAAGAGGAAGGGTACACAAGCTCTCAGGCAGCTCCCAAAGGCTGGGGTGGGGGACTCCTTAAACCAGGGAGGGGAGGAAGTCTTTACTACCATCTGCCTTCCGGGCACTGGGGGAGGAGTAACTTCCGCTCCCTTCCCAGGAGGTGAGATCCTAAGCATCCAGGAGCCTAGGGACAGCTGAGCAACGATAAGAAAGTTCTGGATGGGGAGTTTCAGTCTGAAGCTCAGTCTGCTTGTCTCTGGACTTACTTCTGAGGGGTCTTGATGACCAGATGGACTGTGAGCCCATCCTTGATCCCGTGCTGGTTCAGAGTGTCTCCATCCTTGAGGATCTTGCCTGCGAAGATCAGGACCAGCTGATCCTGCTGAGCCTTAAACCTCCGGGAGATTTCCTCTTTGAACTGTGATCAAGAGGCAGAGACCACTGTTGAGGCTGCTTGGGCTCTGTTCACTGGGGACACTGACTCTTTTTCTAGAGCCTCTGTATTCCCTTGCTCTGACCTCTTGCTGGTCAACTGGAACTCCTTTTTGCAATACCAGCTGCCTCCCTCCAGCGGCAATAAGCAGGTCTTGGCGGGGGGTGGGGGGGGTGGCTAGAGATTAAACCTGGGGCCTCATGTGTGCTAGGCAAGTGCTCTATCACTGAGCTACATACCTAGTCCTTTGTATTTTTATTTTTAGACAAAGTCTCAGTAAGTTGCCCATGTCTGTTCTCAAACTTGTAATCCTAAGCAGCTCCTTTCTTTTTTTTTTTTTTTTTTGGTACCGGGGATTGAACTCGGGTCCTTTCGCTTGCTGGGCAGGCAGCGGAACCACTGAGCTAAATCCCCGGCCCTAGCAGCTCCTTTCTTAACCAAGCACATGGACCAGCAGCAGGCTCTTCTCTGAACTCCACCTTGGGGTCCCCCACCCTAGAAAGCTTTGCAGCCTCCATTCCCTTCATCAGTCCTGTGAGAGGCTGCTCCATCCCAGCTCCTTCAGCAGCCAAAGACCCAGCCTCTGCCTGCCTTCAGCCCACTCTTCTTTGACCCCCAGTTTCTTCTTTTGATTTCCAGCCTTCTCACAACAAATACACCCCAGTTACTGAACACTAACTATTCACACACTAATGGTCTAGTACATTAATTCATTATCTGCATTTTAAAATGAGGAAACAGATGAGGATCAGAGAGGTTAGGCAGCTTGTCCTGAAGAGACTGGAACTCAGGTCTTGCTACCAAAGTCCTGGCTCTCAATTAGACACGCCTCTCAATTAGAGCTGTGTTCCAATTCAGCCTTCCACAGACCACTCTTTAAATTCTAGAATTAGTGATTTTACGTGGGGATGTGGGGCAATGATAACACCAAGGGCTAGCCTTGCAAATTCTCCAAATTTTTTGTTTGTTTTTTGAAACAAGGTCTCTGTGTCGTTCAGGCTGGCCTTGAACTCGGTGATCCTCCTGCCTCAGCCTCCCCCAGGGATTACAGCCATAGGCTACTACACCCTATCTTTCCAAATTCTATCAGCCTCTCCAAAACAAAACAAAACGCACACTCTAAGTAAAAACAGTGCACTTGCTAAGCAGAGGCAGCTCCCAGATCCCTATCTTCCAACCAGATGTCCTATTTTAAGCTCCGCCTATGTGAAATTCTGGAGCAGTCACAGGCAGTGACAGAGACAGGCAATAGCCCCTCATTCACTCATTCAACAAAATTTTATTGAGCACCTACTGCACTCAGTAAATCCCAGAAGCGCTGAGGACCCAAGATGACCACCCCGATTTGGAAGCACAGGAAGCGCCCGGGCAGAGGGCAACCCCGGGCGTAGGTAGGCGTTCTCGGGCACACGGTAGGCGCCGGCGCTCCTCCAGCCTCTGCCCGTTCTCGCGGTTCAGCAACTCGCCCGGGCCGCGCTCTGCCTGGGCGCCTGGAGCTCCTACCAGCAACCGGGACGTACACGCGCCTCCAAGCCAGGGTCCCGCCGCCGGCCGCGCACGCTGCGCTCTGCCCGCTCCACCACGCCCCCAGCCCCGGCGGCACCGACGAACCCGCGCCCGGCACGCGCCGCGCTGCGCACACCTCCCCGCGCGGGCGCCCCTGGCCGCTGCCCTGCCGCCTCCTGTCGGCCGTCCAGGCCGTCCCGGTCCCCCGACCTCCTCCTCCGCGCTCCTCGTCGCCCCCACTCCCGCCGGCAGCACTACCTCCTTGACTGAGGCTCGATCGCAGATCACAATTTCCTCCTTGTCCTTGGGGGTCTTGACGGTGACCCGAATAGGGGGCCTCGCCTCGGCCCCGCTCGGCTCCGCCATGCCGCCGCCGCCGCCGCCACCACCCGGCCGCCCGCCAGCTCGCCCGGCGGCTCCTCCTCCTCCCTCCCGCCCGGCCCGGCTCGGCTCGGCTCGGCTCGGCGCCCCGACCCCCCCTCGCTCCCGAAGCCGCGTCGCCCCCTGCGGGCCAGCCGCGCCCACAGCGCCCCGGGCGGCCTGGGGCGGTACTGCAGCGGGGCCGCCGGGCCGCGGGTCGCGAGGCGGGTGGGGCGGGCTTGGCGGGCGTCCTCCGCGGCTCACTCAGCTCTGGGACAAAGGCCTCCCCGCGTCGCCGCACGGTGTGCGATTCTGGGGCCGGCTCGGCCTTTCTGGGAGACCCGGCTCCCCCGGGCCCGGGGCCGCGCTCCCTGGAGGCTGGCCTCCCCGCCACGGGCGGCCATCGCGGAGCTCCTCGAGGGCGGACCCGCGCCCCGTGGGCAGTGGCCCGGATGACCGAACCCGGGCGTTTGCCTACGTGGCCTCTCTGAGCCTTGGTTCTCGAAATAATAGCGCCCCTCGCCTCTTCTCCAGAAGTGTGCATAGCACGCTTTGAAAACTAAGCAAGGGGTGCCTAACAAATACGAGCTTTTTAAAAATCACTATTGAGCCGTGAAATGACATGAATCTTGAAAAGCAGAAACGATGACTTCCTCTCCCTGAAGGGGTTAAGAGTCCTTCCAATACGGCCACTATGCTTTTACTCCCGCTCTTTTCCCCCCCCGTATCCCCGTGGTCTGACTGAAAAGACGAACTATAGTTCCCAGGGTGCCTCGCGAGGCCAAAAAAGAACTACAATTCCCAGCGCCCTTCGCGCGAGCTGGGTTGTGTCGGAGACACGGGAGCCGAGCAGGGACGCTGCGAGTCCCAGGACGAGGCAGAGCGGGGCAGCTGGTCTACCGAAGCGGCTGGCAGAGAGCAGCAGGAGGCCCCTCCGGGGATCAGAAGCCTAGGGTTAGGAGCCGCAGGCATGCTGCGCCCCAAGGCTTTGACCCAGGTGCTCAGCCAGGCCAACACAGGAGGCGTCCAGAGCACCCTGTGAGTGCGCACGGAGAACCCGAGCGGCGAGCGCTGGAGTGGGGCGGTGAGCGGCTGTCTGAGGGAGGAACGGGGAAGGATCTTCAGCCAGGGAAGTGGCGGCAGAGGCATGCGGTTGCTGGGGGAGCCGCCCGCGAGGGCCCCTCTCGAAAAGGGAAGCTGGTGTGCCGGGTGCTTAGGGCAGGTTCCAGGACACAGCCCACCCGTGCTTCCTGGAAGCGCCAGTGGTGGGAGTTGGGACCGGAACTGGGCGCTTTGCACTTCCCCGGGAGTGTGTCGACATCCCTCCTCCCTGCCCTTCGCCAGGCTGCTGAATAACGAGGGGTCGCTGCTGGCCTACTCGGGTTACGGCGACACGGACGCCCGGGTCACTGCGGCCATTGCCAGTAACATCTGGGCCGCCTACGACCGAAACGGGAACCAAGCGTTTAACGAAGACAATCTCAAATTCATCCTCATGGACTGCATGGTATGGAGAGGGGAGTTCCCGTGCTCCTCGAGGGGATCTCAAGGGGGAGACCTGGAGGCCATCCTGGATGTTTGGAGGGATAGGGACAGGATCTCCAGAAGAGTTATGCCAAGAGTTGGTCTGCCGCAGCATTTGTGATAGGCAGGACCCTTTGCATCAAGTGGTGGTGAGGAAGGAGCCCTGGGCCTGGTGTATGCCTTGGGTCTGGTCCCAGCCACCCACTTATCACTTGTGGAACCCTGGGTAAGTCGCTTAACCTCCTTGAGCTTCCTCTCATCTCTTGCGAGGTACAAGGTATGATAAAGATCAAATGACAGAATGGATGTAGACTGTAGAGTGATGTCCAAGCGCGCGAAATGTTGCCATCCCACTTTTACTGACCCACAGAACCATGAGTCTTCAAGGCCTCAGCCCAACCTTTCAGTTTACAAAGAAAGGAAATGTTGTCCAGAAAGAATAAGTGGCCACTAGGCTATAAACTTATTGGGAGCAGGGAATATGTCATGCATCTCTGGAGCTGTTCATTCAACAAGTATTTAGGTCCTTACAGCGTTTTTAGGACTAGCAAAATAGTGTCACTGGCTAGCGTGGGTGTTTGCTTTAGTGATCATGGAAATGACAATAAAGTGACAGTATGAACTGACAAAGCTTTGATTGGAAGGTAAGAGAAGATAAGGAAGACTCCAGCTTGAGTAGCCCAAGGGGGCATCCTCTGAGGAAGATGATCAGATTGGTCCACCCGCAAGTACAAGAGGCAGCTTTTAAGGGGCAGCTAAGGTGGACAGGGTCTGTTCAGTTATTATCTCAGCCCTGGTTTCCAGCTCCGGTTGAATCCTCCTGACCTGAGGGGCAGTTCAGTTCCTGAGGGAGGAATCTCACCACGAGAGGGGCCAACTCAGTCATGGAAAGCTCTGCCGGAGTCCAAGGTGACCACAGGTTTAGGGCAGTGGAGACTTCAGGGTACAGATGTCCTCAGTCTTAAAGGGCGATGAGCGAGGCTAAGTAAATTTCAGGCTAATAAACCTTGTTTTGCCAATTTTTAGATACTCCCTAAATGACTAATATCTATATGCAGAATTGAGAAAGATTTGGTGCAGTTTTACAACATGAAAGTGATACTTTGGTCTACTTAGTTACCTTTTGGGGATTTGTAGGCCCAAGTGAAGATATATCTATCTAGATATATAGATAGTTTTGTGTTGTTGTTTTTTTTTAGCAAAAAACATTTAAAATCCCTATCTTAGAGAAAAGCAAAAATTGTGCTTTTTTAAAAATTGTAGTCCTAGAGATTGGATTCAGCACCTTCATGCTGAGCTGCCTCCCCAGCCTTTTTTATTTTTTTGTTTTGAGACAGGATCTTGCCAAGTTGCCCAACCTGGGCTCACACTTGTGATCCTTCTGCCTCAGCCTCCTGGACTGCTGGAATTATAGGTGTGTGGCACAAGCACAAACCATGCTTTTAATGACTAACTGGCTAAGGCCCCAAGAATTTGTCTTCTGTCTCTATAGTGGTCTCTATGTCATGACTATGTCAGTAGCTAACAGATATAATTTCCAGCCCTAATGAAGCTTACAGCCTTACAGTTTAAAATAAATAAAACATATTATGTTAGATTTTGAAAAAAACAGAGCCTAGTTCATTGGCACACACCTACAATCCCAGCTACTCTGGAGGCTGAGGGAAAGGTTACAAATTCACATTCAAGGCCAGCCTGGGCAATTTAGCAAGACCCTGCCTCAAAGAAAGGAGGAAGACTCTGGGGGTATAGCCCAGTGTTAAAATGCTCGTGGGTTCAATACCTTTCCCTGCCAAAAAAGAAATGGTCAGGGTCAGGGATTTAGCTCAGTGGTTTCGCCGCTTGCTGCTCAAGCACAAGGACCGGAGTTCGATCCCCGGTACCAAAAAAAAAAAAAAAAAAAAGAAAAAATTTAAAAAAAAAAAAAAAAAAAAAAGAAAGAAAGAAAGAAATGGTCAGATGAGGTGGCGCAAGCCTGTAATCCCAGCCCTTGGGAGGCTGAGTCAGTGAGTTCCAGGCCAGCCTGAGCCACATAGTGAGACCCTGTCTTAAAAAAAAAAAAAAAGAAAACCATGGTGGAGAGAAAGGGAAACAAAGTGGGGTGGGGACATGTGTCAGGGACAATTTCACTGAAAAGGTGACATATGATCAAAGATCTGAAGGGAGGTGGGGCCCAAGCTCTGTGGCTATCTGGAGGAAGAACATTTCTGACAGAGCAGCAAGTGTAAAGGCCTGGGGGCAGAATGATGCCTGGGCAGAGATAGACAAGGGTATGAGGAGTGGTGAGAATGCAGGGGGGTAGATGAGGCCAGAGAGGCAGGGGTGCAGAGCCCGGTCCCGAACACAGTAGGTACTTGGTGGATTGCAGAACCAGCCCGCGTGGATCACAAGGTGATGAGGAGCTGCATTATAAACAGCCGCCTACTCCAGCGCAGTGCAGCCAGAGCCATTTTGGTTCAGCAGATGAGTCCTGCTGAGTGCCTAGCCCAGGGTTGCAATAGGGCAGTAACTTCAAACTTTTTTTTTTACTACAACCCAGCCATAAGAAATACACTTTGGGCTGAGGGGGTAGCTCAGTGGCAGAGCTTTTATGTGTCTTGGTATTTTGGGGGTTTTTTTTGGTTTTTTTAGTACTAGGGATTGAACTCAACTCAGACTCTTTTGCACTGAGCTACATCCTCAGCCCTTAGTTATTTGTTTAAATTTTTTTTTTTGTACTGGGGATCAAACTCAGGAACTTGTGCTTGCAAGGCAGGCACGGTGCCACTGAGCTAAATCCCCAGCCCCTGTTTGTTTAAATTTTGAGACAAGAATTTGCTGAGTTGCCCAGCCTGGGCTCAAACTTGTGATCCTCCTGCCTCAGCCTCTCAGAGTGTGGGATTGCAGGCAGGCACCACCTCGCCAAATTTTTAAATTGATCTCTGCGGTTTACGTTAACATGGGAAAAGAGGAAAAATATACATTGGGTTTTGAGTGTCTCTGGGGTGAACCTATCATAATATCTTATTTGCCTAACCCTTGACAGATACATTCATATGCGTATTATATCCACTAACGGGTGAGGTAGGGGTCCCCAAAAGACAGCGAGTTCCTGGGAGACCAAGTCTAGCAGGGATCTGTGAGGTTGGGACCCAGGCTCAGAACCTCATGTCTAGGGCTGTGACTGAAGCTTCCCAGGGGATGGAAGGAAGACACCGTCTCTAGGGCCAGGGAAGCCCTGGGGAAGGAGGCAGCTAGAGGTGCCAAGCAGACCATCACATTCATCATGTCCCCACCAGGAGGGCCGTGTGGCCATCACCCGAGTGGCCAATCTGCTGCTGTGTATGTATGCCAAGGAGACCGTAGGCTTCGGGATGCTCAAGGCCAAGGTGTGTATGTGCCCGCCCCTGCTTCCCATGCCCAGGCTTTATGCTTCCTCACTGCCTCCACTCCCACCCGCACCCCCTTTCTGGAGTTCTGTGGCGGTTGTGCAGTATGACATGGGGGCACTGGGGATCCTTGGGTGGTGTCATGTGGGGACTGATGTGTACCCCCTCTTGCAGGCCCAGGCCTTGGTGCAGTACCTGGAGGAGCCCCTCACTCAAGTAGCAGCATCCTAGCGGGCAGTGGTGCACGCTGATGACGACAGTTGCAGGGGGAGGGCCCTTGGAAACCCTTCCTGGTCTGTGGGGGAGAGGACGGGACTTGTTTTTTTCAGAATAAACTTTAACTCCAGACTTGTCTTGGCCACTTTCTTGGATGGGAAGAATCAGAGGACCCAGGAAGCGGTGGCTCAGGGGATCCCTTGTGTTCTGCAGGATGGATTTCCGCCCATTCCTTCACTGTGACCTGCCCTGGCCCGATGGTTCTTGGCATTGGTGTCCCCACTGCCTCGGCCTCTCCAGTGGTGCAGCCCCACAGAGTCCCTGCACTCAGAGCAGAATCGTACTCACCTGAGCAAGCCAAGAGCAAAGTAGAGGACTAGTTACGTTGAACAAAGAACATAGGACCAGGGCCGGGGATTTAGCTCAGTGGTGCTGCCGCCTGCCTTGGAAGCACAAGGTCCCAAGTTCGATCACTGGTACCCCCCCAAAAAAAAGAATATAGGACCCTTCGTAGCAGGCTTTAGGAAGGGTGCCCTAACTACCGAGAACAGGTCACTTCTTTCTCCTCCCAGATGTTCATAGGTTCCGCAGACCTTTTCCAGGTCTTTTTGGGGAGTGGTGGGAGCAAGGTCTTTTTATGTAGCCCAGGCTGGCATTGACCTCATGGCGATTCTCCTGCCTCAGCCTCCTGAGTGCTGGGATTACAGGCCAGCTCCCCCTTCCAGATCTTGAAGCCATGCCATGAGGCCCTGGGTCCTGGGGAAGGAATAGAAGAGCCCCAAGAAACCTCTCAGGTGTCATCTCCTGATCCTGCCCCTGCACCCCTGCATGGATCTCCAGATTCCTGTCCCATGTCTCTCCTACTCTGTCCTCAGAGCAGGTCTGTGGGGGTCCCGGCTCCAGGACTGTAGGAAGGGAGTCATCCGGAGTAAGTGGGTAGCTTGTGAGTCCCAGCTCCACCCAGGTTAAGAAACCTCCCCATCTCCCTGCGCCATCAGGGAGAGGCTGAAGTCACTGTGGCCAGGATGCAGTTCCACACTGGTGCAGTGACTGTCATTCCATCAGCCCTTACCCCTTGCTCCAGCAGCAAGGGGCTCCCAGGGTTCCCTGCCAGAGCCAAGTGGGTTTCTGCTCCTCCAGGAGCTGTTCTCCCCGGCAGCTGCCCGCAACCCTTGCCACAGGTCTCAGGTGTGAAGCCATGCAACCTCAGCCCTTGGGGGCTCTCCTCAAGATCATGTGCCCCCACCCGGAAGTCTCCCCACTGTATCCCTGGGAGCTGGCTCACAGGTGGGAGCCCAGGCTGGAGCACACACCTAACCTGTCTAACCTGTCTGACGTCAGCTCTCTCCACCCACCTGGGCCTCAGGTGCTGGGCGCCTCTCTTCCTGTTCTCAGCTTCCGTCCTCTCAGCTTCCATACAGCAACCCCACCTGCCGGAGCCTCGCCTCACTAGGCTCTGCCTGGCCTTGCCTGGCCCTCAGTCCCTCTGGCTGCAGAAGTCTCCTTGCCCCCATGCGAGGAGAGGTGGGGCCAGTCTCTGGAGAGCCAAGAGTTGAGGGCACTGAGCCAACACAGTCTCCTGCCCTCTGCTCCCCCAAGGCACCTGTACCCTCTATGAGGAGCCAAGATGGGGAACAGAGCCGAGGAAGATTATAACTTTGTCTTCAAAGGTAAGTTGGGGTTCATGAAAAGAGAGGAAGCCTGAGACCAGAGATGGTAGAGCCAGAGAGGGCCCCATCCTGCGTTTTATCTCTTCCCGGGACCCCTAGGGTCACCATTCCCTCCAGCTAGGGAAGGAAGCTGCAGGGAGGGGAGAGAGTCTGATCCCCTGATCCTGGGGGGGAGAAGTCCTGGGGTTGCCAGTGTGCTCCGTGGCTGAGAACCACGATGCTGGCTGTGCCTTTGTATTGCCTGGTACGGCTCTCCTTCCTGCTCCTAACAGAGCCCAGGTTCCCGGGAAAAGTCAGCCCCTGCCACGCTAGAGGTCAGACACTTCAGAGAGGACCTCCTTTCTAGGTAGAAAGGAGATTTAAGCAGAAGATAGTCATCTTTCTGGGCAGATGTATAAGATGTGAGAAGGCAGAGACCAGTCTGTGATCGGGCTGGGCGATAAATAGTTAGGGAATACACTGGGCAGATGCAATGGACCTGCAGTTGGGCCTGACAGAATCCACAGTGCTCCCGGGCCTGAAGCCTCCTCTGCCTGTGCCTGGGCAGAGCCTTGGCCCCGATACCAGGCACTAGGTTTAGCTTGCTGTCCTTGGAAGTGTGCCTGGGTCCTTTCTGGGTCTCTGTCACACGCAGCCCCTGTTTTAGACCCGCTATGGCTCCTAAGTCCCCTCCACCCCACTTGAGAGCAGGGTAGACTAGTCGAGCTCCCATTCTCTTTCTAGCCACCCCACCCCACTGCCTCTCCCAACCTCAGCCGCACCCCAGCTCAAGCTGGGGAACCTGTACTTCTGGCGTCTTTCCCAGGAAGGAGACAGCTAAGCTTTAGCAAGAGTCTGGGCAATAAATATTAATAGATACCACTGTTAATTGAGTCCTTTCTGGGTACAAGCCACCATCTCTTTAATCACTGTAACACCACCCAAAAGTTCTCCTGCATTTTGAGAGGCGAAATAGCATCATGGTCAGGAGCCAGACCAAGCTCAGAGCTCAGCTCCGCCTCTTACTGTGGGATCTCCAGAAGCAGACCCTGAGAAGGCTGGGGTGTTCAGTGTCATGTGAGGACCAATGCCAGCGAAAGTCAAGAGGAGAAAACGGGCCCGGAAAGTCCATGCAATTTGGACACCAGGAAGCCGAGGTCAGGGCTGGGGAGCTGTGACACCCTCACCTTGTCCAGGTGCAGCATGTGGCTGCCCAGGAAGGACATGGCTTCCGTGAGGGCGCCCTCTGCTCTGGAGGCAGCTGCTGAAGGAGCTAACAGCTAGAGGTTGTCCTTGAACTCTCAGCGATCCTCCTGCCTCAGCCTCCTAGGTCCTGGGCTTATGGGCATACACATTTTTACACATGCACACAGGTACACACACTTCCATATGTTCCTCTCACTCACACGTGTCTGTTGGTAAATTTTCTGCTTGCCCGTACCTCTGTTTACGATGCAGTCATACATACCAGCCCCTCCCTCATCCTCCCAGCCTGTCCTGGAAGGTGGATCTGGGCGTTACATCTCTACCCTCCTGTTATCCTGGGCCTCCCAAGTGCCTTCCTTGTCTGTGTAAAGGAGAAGGCATTGTTGTGAGAATGAAGTGAGTTACTATGCATACAGCTTTTAGGATGGTGCCTGGGACTTAGTAGCACTCAATAAATGCTGACCGTTGAGTATCTCCGTTTTACAGATGAGGAAACTGAAAGGTCACAAAGGGTCGCAAAGTCAGTAGTACTCAACTCTAAGTCTGTTTGACACTAAAGACTTGTCCTGAGCAAGTGTGGGGCTGAGCTGTGAGTTAGGCATGGCCACCCCTACGAAGAATGAGATGGGATGAGGTTCCTCAGAAGAGAGGGCAGGTACACATGTGCACAGGCAAACACACACGCATCCTCTCACCCACATACAGCCAGACTGCTTCCAGCTCTTTTTTGCCCTATATAATAAGATTTTTAAAAAAATGCTAGGCATGGTGCATGCCTGTAATCCTGGTGCTCAGGAGGCTGAGGCAGAAGGGTCACTGTGACTTTGAGGCCAGCCCAGACTACATTGTGAATTTAAGGCCATGAGCTACATAGTGAGACCCTGTCTCAAAAATACAAAATAGGACTGGAGATTTAGCTCAGTGGTGATGTGCCTGCGCAAGGTCCTGAGTTAGATCCCACATACAGAAAAGAAAATAAAAAGATTTGGGCCAGGGATTTAGCTCAGTGCTTCCGCCACCTGCCTCACAAGCACAAGGACCTAAGTTCAATCCCTGGTGCAAAAAAATAATAAATAAATAAAATTTAAAAAATAAAAATATTTTTTTCCTGTGGTACTGAAGATTGAACCCAGGACCTTCACACTCAGTTACATCCCCAGTCCTTTTTTTCCTCTCTTATTTTCAGACATGGTTTGCTAAGTCACTAAGTAGCTCAGGCAGGGCTTGAATTCGCAGTCTTCCTGTTTCAGCCTCCCAGAGGATTGCGATTGTAGGCATGCACCAATGCGCCCCACTCAGTGTCAAGCTCTCTGTCATGCAGGACAGCTCCTCCTTAGAGACCACTGGATCCCAACTTCTTCTCCTCTTTCTTCTTCTTCCTCTCCTTCTCTCCTTTTTTTTTTTTTTGGAGATAGAGTCTGTGGTCTTGAACTCATGACATGGCCCAGGGTGGCCTTGAACTCACAGCAGTCCTTCTGCCTCAGCCTCTTATGTACTGGGCTTACAGGCATGTGCCACCATGCCCAGCTGGATCCTAGTTTTACACACACACACACACAGAGGAACACACACTTCTGTACTTTCCTCACTCACATGTGTCACTTGCTAAATTTTCTCCTTACCCTTACCCCTATTCACACCTCTGCTCCCTGTGGAGACACACATCCCAAACCCCTCCCTCCATCCTCCCAGCATGCGTACTTAGAGACAAGCACAGAGTTCTGCTCCCTAGCCCAGTCGCCTCCCACCTTTGTGCATATTTGCACACCTCAGTCACGGCTCCAAGTGACACCAGTAAACAGCCCACTGATGTGACTCCATCCCAGCAGCACAGGCAGGCTGTGGCATGACACTGGTGGCACCCACATGTTCCTTTTAAACTCTTGTCCTTTCTGCCCACCAGGAGAAATAAATTATGCAGAGCTGCTGGTCCCATTCTCTTCCGGGAGACCCAGTGTCCTCCTCAGTTTTTCGAGCTCGGTTCCCCCTTTCTTCTTTTTCTCTGTGTGTGTGTGTGTGTGTGTCTGAAGGCTGAACCCAGAGCCTTTGCACAGAGCTACAGAGCTACAGTGCATCCCCGACCCTTCTTTAATTTTTGAGATAGAGTCTCACTAAGTTGATAGGTTGCTGGGCTCGAACTAACCATCCTCCTGCCTCCGCCTCCCAGAAAGCCGGGATTACAGTAAGCATGTGCTCGTGCACCTGGCTCAGGTGTCCCTTTCTGACTTTTCTGCCCCATGCTCAGCCCTTATTTCTCCACTCCTTTAGTGGTGCTGATCGGCGAGTCTGGTGTGGGGAAGACCAACCTGCTGTCCCGCTTCACACGCAATGAGTTCAGCCACGACAGCCGCACCACCATCGGGGTAGAGTTCTCCACCCGCACTGTGATGCTGGGTACCGCTGCCATCAAGGCCCAGATTTGGGACACGGCTGGCCTGGAGCGCTACCGAGCCATCACCTCGGCGTGAGCTCGGGGTCTGGGGTCTGGGGGGCTGCTGGAGCGCTGGGGAGACAGGGAACACCGTGGCGGGGGGGGGGGGGGACTCGCAGGTCGCCCTCCAGGGGATCATAGGTGATAAATACTGTGAACACCCAACAGCGCCAGGCAGAGTGCAGTGACCCTGGCCGGGAGGACTAAAAGCAAGGTACAGGCACTCAGTAAGCCTTCGCCACGTGCCCAGAAAGGCACAGAGCACTTCGTTCGTGGCATTGCGCGTTACTCTTAAAGGGCCACAGAAATAAGGTGCTATAATTAATTACTCCCTGTTTAAATGCAAGCAAGGTGAGATCAGGGTGGGCCTGGGAGGGGCAGCTGCGTGCGTCGAGAGCGCCCCCTGACTTCGGTACTGCGCTCTGCACTTGAAGACGTCCATTGATCCCTAACGCTCAGGGCCAAACCCGGAGTGTGGATTTTAGAGTCTCAAAGGAGGCACCGGAAGTTCAGCCCGCCGACGCTCCATCCCAAATGTCTTCCAGGCGGCATCAGGTCCGATTATGGGAGAGATGGTCTGTGCATATGTGGTGGGAGCAGGAAGCAGGGGCCACAGTCACACAGACAGGGCCGCACACTCATAGTCACGTGTCCTCCGATGAGCCAATCAGACGCCACCACTCTGGAGACGGCACTTCCGCCCCGAGGAGGCTGCTCGGGCTGTGGGGCCAGACCGTGCTGCGACGGCAGGCGTTTGTTAGACCTAGAGAGACAGCCGCAGCAGAGAGAAGGCCATGAAGGCTGGGGAGTCACGTGAGGAGGGTCACAGGGTGTTCTGGCTTAAGCGCCCTGCTCAGAGGCTGCCCGTGACACCCCCACTGTCTCTGTCCACCCCCGCTCCCGCCCAGGTACTATCGGGGAGCAGTGGGGGCCCTCCTCGTGTTTGACCTAACCAAACACCAGACCTATGCCGTAGTGGAGCGCTGGCTGAAGGAGCTCTACGACCACGCCGAGGCCACTATTGTTGTCATGCTCGTGGGAAACAAAAGTGACCTCAGCCAGGCCCGCGAAGTGCCTACTGATGAGGCCCGGATGTTTGCCGGTGAGAGCGCCCCTCCACCCAACGCCGCCCAGCCGAGCTTACCCGGCCCTCCCACCTCAGCCTCCGGTCCCTGCTCCCCCTGCAGCCCTTGCCTGACTTCCCCCCAGCGCTTCTCCACCTCCACCCCTCTGGGCCCCTACGTCTCCTGTCATGTCCCCCACTTGCCCTGAGACTGTTTTCGCCAACTGTTCGGAGTTGGATTTGTGTTTTTGTGCTTTGCGATTCTGGGAATTGAATCCAGGGCCTTTGCCCATTTTTAACCTTTGAGATTGTCTCACTAAGTGGCTAAATTGCCCAGGCTGGGCTTGGACTTGTGATCCTCCTGCCTCAGCCTTCCAGAGCGCTAGGACTATAGGACTGTGCCACCAGGCCTAGCTCATAGTTGATTTTGAGACAGTCCTACCCTTCAGGGCTCAGAGATCTTGGTGGGCTCCCCTGACCCTCTGCAGTCGCACTTTCCCTGTGAGTTTTGTGGGATTAGTGGCAGCTCAATCTGGTGGATTGGGGACAGGCAGTGGGGCCCAGCCTCAAACCCCCTCTAGGCCATTTACTAGACTCGGCTTGGAGGAAGGTCTTTCATCCTCTGCTTCTGGGTTTCTGTTTCCTGACTGGAGCTACCTCATCTGTTGTTTTAGGATGAAATAAACTACTCTATGCCGAGGATTTAGCATATAGAAAGTGCACATAGTAAACATAGTAACCATTACTACCATCATCATCATCATCATCGATGTTGTCGCCTTTGACACCCCCCACCACCATAAATGGTACATTTTCCTTCCTGACAGAAAACAATGGGCTGCTATTCCTGGAGACCTCGGCTCTGGACTCTACCAATGTCGAACTGGCCTTCGAGACCGTCCTCAAAGGTTAGAGGCTGCCTCAGTTTGTCCCAACTTCCCCCTTCTGTCCCCATGGCTTCAGAGGGCAGCAGTAGGCATGGAGACACCCAGTCCTCACCCCAGGCCCCCCCGCTCAGCAGCCTGCACTTAGGGGAAGACCACACTTTCCAGGGGCCTTCTCCACTCAGGTAAGTAGAAGCCACCCAGCTTGGCTAAGCTCCACTTCCTCCCAGCAGGACCCCCCACCCCCACCCCCAGTGCTCAGAAGGGGAATTCAGGTTGGGGGTGGCACAGGCTCCAAACTTTCTGGCCTGATCACCACTCTCCTGTTCTCAGAGATCTTTGCGAAGGTATCCAAGCAGAGGCAGAACAGCACCCGGAGCATTCCCATCACCCTGGGCAATGCCCAGGCTGGGCAGGACCCCAGCCCTGGAGAGAAGAGGCCCTGTTGCATCAACCTTTGACCCTGGCCATGGCCTCCTGGTGCCACACCCTCACCCCCGGTCCAGGACCTTTCCCTGCCCTTTGGTTCCCTGTTCACGGCCCCCCAGAGCCTCCAGGCCTTCGTGCCCACCACGCGTGTGTCCATGGCCTGTCCACGGCCTGTCCACCCATCACAGATCAGGACTCTCAAATAAAGCTGTTTTGTAGCAATGCCTGGCCGTCGTGCCGCCTCCTGTCTGTTCCTCCTCCTATCTGTACCACCCCTCCAACCTTGGTCCCTCCTCTTGAGTCTCTGGTCCCTTCCCTCCCCTTCCTTTCCTTCTGTCTTCCCCACCATACCCACTGATCCCCAAGGCCAGCTGCCTCTGGAGTTCTGTGCTCTGGGGACAGTGCCAAGGGGGAGGGAGGTGCTGCCCTGTCCTTTGCCAACCCCAGGGCAGGTGGGGGAGGGAGGACAGCATGGAGGGGAGGGGTATCTAGAAGGCAAGACAAAGGAAACCCATCTCAGGCACCATCTGGTGCCCAGGGCCTTGGTGCCAAGAACTGAGGTCACTCCAATGCCAGGGGCAAGAGGAGGCTGCTGGGGGAGATGCGGGGGAGCGGGGTGTTGGGCAGGCCCTGCACATTTCCTGGGTGGAGGGGTTTTCGGCCTGGGAGATGGGAGGCCTGAATCTACCTGAATGGGCAGGAGAAATGGGGAAGGTCTCTCCTCACAGGTTTCGGCCCTTTCCCACAGAGCTCAGAGATGGCAGTCCAGAGGGCGCACTGTGTCACCTGGCCTGGCCTTGCCTGGTAAGCAGGTCAGGGTAGAAGGTACGAGTGAAAGGGAGGGGTGGGGGCGAGCCTAGGGCTGGCAGGGAGCCCTGGAGACACCCACTCTCCCCTGGTGTGCAGGCACCCACAGTATCCAGCTGTAGTTCTTCCCACTTGCCCCAAGACAGTAGATGCATGCAGAGAAAGGCAGCCTTAAGTAATAATACTTTTAATAAAATTAAGTTCTTAATAGCACATTTAATACATTAACCCTCCCCTTCTTGGTTTCTCTGCATTTTGTGCAACATCACTTGGACTTGATTATTCATGGGTCTGTTTCATTTCCCGCCTTCAATTTGCTTTTGAAATATTCTTCCCTGGTGGATGTGTATGTGTCTTCACTAGATGCCTCAAATTAAGTCTGACCACAATCCTATTCTACTTTCTACAGTGGAGACCAGCCCCCTGCCCCAGGGCTGTCTCCCCCGACCCACCCTACCCCACCCGCACCCTCGAGTGGGGAAGGGGAAGCCCTCCCCATCCCAGACGCTACCACCCCAAACTAGCGAGGGTTCTAGGACAAAAGGAGCAGGGGGAAATCTTTCCCTAGGTGGGGCGAGAAGAGTAAATTGGGGAGAGGGAGACGTGTTTGGGGTCCAGGTCAGGGAGGAGCATGGCAGAGTTATTGGTGTAATGGAGCAGGTGTCTCTTGCCAAAGGGAAGGGGTGGGGGCTCCCCAGCCTCTTGGACAGGAGGGAAGAGCCCTATCTGATTGCCTGCTGGGGTTGGTAGAAGGCAAGTGCTTAAAAATGCTTATTCCTCACATGCAAAATCCAGGCACCCCAATTTTCTGTGGGGAAGGTGAATGCCTGAGGCCAGGGCACAGTGAACCACCCTTTTCTGAATGCTCACAGATGGTAGCTGCACAAAGGATAGGCCTGGGGTCACACAAGGTCCCTGTGCCCTTCCCTGCCTCTGTACTCTTGGGGGGGACTGCGTCTCCACTGCGCCCCAACAGGTGGGTCGTCGTTCAAATCTAGCTTCTGATAATCTGCAGACTGGTAAAGCACTGCACAGATTTACAGGGGCATAATCATCGAGACTGCTACCCCCACTGCTGAACCTCTGAGATAGAAGTGTGTGTGTGGGATGGCTTACCAGGCTCCTAAACTGATCTGCAGTCAGGTGGGCTGGGGTCACACTTCCAGAAGGACTTTGGAAGTTAGGCCTGGGAGACGCTGGCTAGGAAGGTTGGAGCTGAGCAGCCTCCATCCTGAGCCCCGGGTGGGAGTAAGAGGACCCAGCAGGCTGCGGGGGGAGGGGGCCCTGCTGTCTCTCCCCAGCCCCCAGCTTGGTGGAGACCGCAAAGACCAGCCAGCGTCCTTTCAAAGACCCTGGGAGCTGAGGCCCATCCACTCACCTAACTTCAAACTCCAGCGACTCTCAGAATCAACCCCAGCAGACGGGACGCTCCCAATCCCAACTCAAAATCTGCTCCAACCCTGACCCCTGAAATAGGCGACTCAGGGTGGATTTAGCCACTTCCCTCTATTCTTTTCGATACTTTTATACATTCTACTGGACCCAGGGGTCCTCAATGCTACTAAACTTTTAAGCTATCTGAATATTATCTACTAAGTAACTAGTAATTCTTTCTTTCTCTAGGATTATATGAAATAAATTTGAATTATTATTATTATTTTGTAGTATTCTTTTAAACCCCTCGGTTTCTTTTTCTTCTCTTTTTTTTTTGGTTAAAAAAAAATCTATTTCTCTTAAATCTCACACCTCTCTGAGGATTCCCATGGCCCTTCTAGGCCTCCATGCTGGACTCCCCCTCCTCACTTGCCCCTGGGACCGGGCAGGGGAAGGGGGGGGAACCCCAGGATCCTCGGTCCTTAGTCCCACAGCCTCTTCTTTTCCGGTTAATCCCTTTCTTTGTTTGGCTCTGCCAGCTCCCTTGAGGGGAGGGGAGAGGGGAGGAGGAGCCCACAGAGTGAAATCCAATCTACTTGTGGGGCCCCAGAAGGGACGGGTTCCCCAGCCCCTCTCTCTACCATCCATCCCAGGATGCTCCCCCAGGAAAAGCAAACGACATTCCTCCCCAAAAAAAAGTGGGGGAAAAAAGGAACGTAAACCCGAACATATATTAAAAACACTTTTTTTTAAGATTTAACTCTGAATACAAATGTATTTTTTTCTTCTCTCCCTACATATATTCTAAACCTTCTAAAGTTTTTTTATTTTTTTAAGGATCACTTTATCATAAAATAAAATATCCTTTTCATATAATAAATTACCTAATAAAAAGTCTTTTTTTTTTCATATTAGCCCAGGTTCTTTGCTACATTTATACGGTAATAAACGCCTTTATTAAAATAGAATATTAAATTATAAAGAACTGCTTTTTTTTTCTTTTTTGCTATTTTTGTTTCCTCTCCTGTCGGTCACTCAGCTCGCTCCCTCGTTCTCTCCCGTTTTTGTCACTCACTGTCTTCTGCCTTTGTTCCTAGGCCTGGCTCTCTGTCCCGGCGGGCAACTGAACTTGCAGTGCCCCTGTGTAACCGTCTCCTGCCTCTGTGGGTAAGGAGTGGAGAGGGGAGGGGATGACAGACGCCCTTTCTTCCCACCCCACCCTGCCGCCCCGGGGACCGGGTGCCCATTTGGTTTGGTTTCTATTGTACAGACATCTCAGGATGGCTCAGGGTGGTGGGAGGTGGGAAGGTGACAGCTGAGACCTCCTTCCTCTCCCTCCCAGGCTGGTGGTCTGGAGGGGAAGGCTCAGAGAGGTGAGTTAATTCACAACTGGAGAAAGAGGAAGAAGGAATTCCCTCCACACCTTCATCCCTGCACCCCTTCTCCTCCAGGAAGAATGGGCCTGGGGAGCTCTAAGTGCTCGGCTCACTCAGAACTGTCCTACCCAATATATACAAGGGTCTCCTGGCCCTCAAGGCTCCGGTCTCCTACCTCTCCTGGCCCGGCCTGCGGAACCAGGAGGGTGGGAGGGAGGTGGCAGCCCCGATGGAGCAGCAGGGAGGCAGCAAAGGGGACTCCAGGCCTGCCACAACCCTTGATTTCTGGAACAGAAATCCCCAAAACTACTTTGCCTGGCCTGCTCCTCAGCCTCCGAGGGTGGGGCTGAGGCTTCATGCTGTAAGCACCAACAAGGATTCAATAAAGGCCATCAGGCCCAGAGACAGCCTGGCCTGGGGGCACGGCAGGTGGGGAGCCCTTCCTTGCTGGTCGGTCCCTCCTGCCCAGGCCCTTTTCTGCTCCTGGCTCTCTCCTCCCACAACCAGAATATCTAGCCGAGTCGCACTCTAAGTATAATGCCCAGAGATGATGAAAGTGGGGATCTGACACTTCACGCACCCCAGTATCAGTTGCCCCTCAAATTGTCACTGAGAACAGGGTTACATTCCGTCAAGAACTGGGGCTGTTTCTTTGGAGGGATAGGGGAGAGGGGGTTCCAGTGCCTGGAGAGTAACTGGAGGGACCATTAAAATGTCCCCCCCTTTTCCCCAGGGGGATGGTATCCCCAAAGCTGGGCTGGAGGGGGGGCAGAGGAGAGGGCCAAAAAGGCCATCCAAAGAGCCAGAGGAAAAGGAAAAAGCAAAGGGGAAGGGAAAACTCAAAGAAAGTAAAGATGGGGAGAAGACACGGAAGGGCAAAGTGGCAGGGGCCAGATGGGGGAAGCCCTCTCCAGATTCCTCTAGCCCAGCTTTGTAGGGACAGATGAATCCTGAGCCCTTTGTTGACTGACAGTTCTCCTCACCCCACCCTTCAAACACCTGCGCAGACTTCCGACAAGACCCCAACTCCCACACTACTGGAGACCGCAAGTTTCCCAAACAGGAAATGGGGGTAGAACACCTAGAGCGTCAGGTTAGGAGGTCGGAGGTCAGGACCGCACAGCGCCCGCCTGCCTCCGCAAACAGATGGTAATTCTCCCTCTCCCACCCACCGTACAAAGGAAGGGGTGGGGTAACACACAGCCAGGGAGGTGGGCAGAGGACGCCTTAGCACCACCTCTGGCAAAAGGAAAGTTTCTCTTAGCTGCTTCCAGATTTAAAGTGTGTTGAGGTATCAGAGTTGTAACTCTAGTAAAATTCAGTCTGGCCCCTCCCAGTCTTCCCAGGACAGGGAGACCAGAGGCTCTGAAAGTGGTCCACCCTCCAGCCACGACCGCCTGCCCCCCCCCCCCCGCGAGCAAATATCTCCAAGCGCCTTGCCCCTCAAATCACGGATTTCCAAGACCCCAGTGGAAAACAGGTCCAGGCCTGAACCCTGGGGAGTGGGTCCTGGAGGCAGGGGCAGGGGCTTAGGAGAATATTCGGATGGCTTGCGTAGCTGTGATGTGGCAGACGGGACACTCCGGGTCCGTCCTCTCGCAGATGCGGACTGCGCACTCCATGCAGAACAGGTTGTGCCCGCAGGGCACAAGGGCGGCAGTCACCTCGC